GAAAGATTCTTGAACTTCATTGAATTGTGTATATTGTGTTCCGTATATCCGTTAAGGTCAGCCAAAACAGAACTGCAAGCCTCCTAGTTTAAGACCCTGAGCTTTGGCTGAAACGCACTGTCAGTGTTTGTTCTGAGCCCGTGTCTACAGGTAACGTTAATATCGGAAAGCTTTTGCAATGTTCTGTCCTAACTGTGTTTGGCTGTGTTGCTATTTCACAGCTCAGGTGTTCTCAGTTATGATTCAAAGTAACTTCGCCTCAGATGCGCGTTGACCCGCTTGCGTTGTACCACACAGCATTTTTACCCCTTGTCCCGCACGTCGCATATTGAGTAAATGTCCCGCATTTTTGTCTATTGGTTTTTAATTATCATAATAAGAAAACGTCCATGCGTTATTTTGCCTTTTTAAGAAAGCATTATGCTTTCTTTTTGCAGCGTCGTTTTTCACCTATATTTAACAGCGCGTCAGAAGTGCAAATATACGGAAGCGTATTGCATTCACTTGAAGAAAAAAAATCTACTCTGTTTTTCTGAATTAACGAGTTAATTTTTCATGAGAAAAAAAATTGCTCTGTTTTTCTGAATTAATGAGTTAATTTTTTCATGTGGAAAAAAAGTTTTTGCTCTGTTTTTCTGAATTAACGAGTTAATTTTTCATGGAATTTTTTTTTTTGCTCTGTTTTTCTGAATTAACGAGTTAATTTTTCATGAGAAAAAAAGTTTTTGCTCTTTTTTTTCTGAATTAACAAGTTAATTTTTCGTGGAATTTTTTTTTTGTTCTGTTTTTTCTGAATTAACAAGTTAATTTTTCATGAGAACATTTTTTTTTGCTCTGTTTTTCTGAATTAATGAGTTAATTTTTCTGTTTTTCTGAATTAATGAGTTAATTCAGAAAAACAGAGCAAAAACTTTTTTCTCATGAAAAAATTAACTCATTAATTCAGAAAAACAGAACAAAAACTAAACTTTTTTTCTCATGAAAAATTAACTCGTTAATTCAGAAAAACAGAGCCAAAAAAAAAAAAATCTCATGAAAATTTTCTCGGAATTCTGAGATAATTAATTTGTTAATTCAGAAAAACAGTAGATTTTTTTTCTTCAAGCGAATGCAATACGCTTCCGTACAAATACAACCGTGGCCCGCGATATTTTTTTTCACAGGATGGTAGGGGAAGACTCATCAATATTCATTAGGGAACTCATCCCTGATTGGTCTGATGACCTACCTCTAACCCCGCCCCTAAACCTACCCGTCACTGGGGTTAAGACCAATCAGGGATGAGTTACCTAATGAATATTGATGAGTCTTCCCCTACCATCCTGTGAAAAAAAATATCACCTTCGGCCCGCCATTTTTTTTAAATCCACACGGTCACTGGTAGGTTGTGACGGCTGTCAATCAAAATTTGGAGCGGTGATTCGTTCCATGTTTTCCCTTTATCTATCTCTTCTAAGAATATGACAGTTTTTGGTTTAATATATTCTTAATATACAAGCCTGTCAATTAACTAATTTCATTTTGTTTTATATTTTATTTGTTCACATTTTAGTTGGACTTGGTCAGAACTGTTTCAAAAATAGTTATCTGCATGATGCCTGCTACCTTTGTGCTTATATAGGGATGTTGAATTTAAATGACATGTTAAATAAAGACATGTTATGTTACATTGTGATACATCATGGTGTTTTCTGGAAGATACTAAAAAACAAAGTATTTTTATCAGCTGAAATGCAGCATACAAATGTTTTTATTAAAGGAGTAGTTCACTTTTAAAAAAAGCTAATGATAATTTACTCACCCCCATGTCATCCAAGATGTCCATGTTTTTCTTTCTTCAGTCGAAAATAAATTAAGGTTTTTGATGAAAACAGTCCAGGATTTTCTCCATATAATGGACTTCAGTGGGAACCAAACGGTTTGAGGTCCAAATGAGAGTTTCAGTGCAGCTTCAAAGGGCTTTAAACGACACCAGACGATGAATAAGGGTTTTATCAAGCGAAACGATCAGTCATTTAAAAAAAAATAAAATAAATAAGTTTTATAAGCACAAATGCTCGCTTTTCTGTGATGCACGCTTGTGACTCTCCCGTTCGAGCTTTTTCCGAGTCAATTCGTTCATTTTGTTCGTTGAATTAACCAAATTACTCGAAAAAGATTCTTTCATTTTGATGAACGAGTTCGAGCAGGAGAGTCACGAACGCTCATCACAGAACAGAGCAAGGCGAGCATTTGAGCTTATAAAACTTAAACTTTTTTTTTTAAATGACCGATCGTTTCACTTGATAAGACCCTTATTCATCGTCTGGTGTTGTTTAAAGCCCTTTGAAGCTGCACTGAAACTCTCATTTGGACCTTGAACCGTTTGGTTCCCATTGAAGTCCAATATATGGAGAAAATCCTGGACTGTTTTCATCAAAAACCTTCATTTATTTTCGACTGAAGAAAGAATGACATGGACATCTTGGATGACATGGGGGTGAGTAAATGATCAGCAAAGTTTTTCTTCAACGTGAACTACTCCTTTAAGTTAGATAGACATTATATAACATTTTTAAGTTATGTTGGTAACATGTCCCACACAAACGTAGTAGTCGTCTCACATTTGGTTTGTTTGATGGTGGTCACCCTAAATAAACTTGACTATTGGCATACAGTAAGAGTAGAGAGCTGTTTGGTCTGGAAGAATCTGATGTTTGAGTTCATATTGAAATCTCTGACTTTGGTGTCTTTGCATTTTTTTCCACAGTTTGAGACATAGAGGATATTTCTTGTAAATTCTAGAGGCAACATAGAACTTCTTCAATGTAGAGAAGATTATAAGACTCTCAATTCAATTTGATTGATCTCTAGGAAAAATAAGTGCAACAGGAGTAATTGAGGTATTTGAGACATCTTTTTGTCTACTTAACATTATAGGTCTTCCATCTGTGGGCGCGATAAGCCTGAAGAGTCCTGCTTTACTCTGTACCAAGAGCTCCTTGCCGGAACCGTCAGCTGTGAAGAGCCACGCCACACAACAGACAGGAGAATGTAGCTGGGTCAGTGTTTACATTCCTCTACCTCTTACAGGACAAGGCTTGTGTGTGTTTATGTAAAATCCTCACACAAAGATGATCCAGCGTGAGGTGAGACTGTGCAGGAACCAGAGTCTATGCTGTCACCCACCGTGGCCCCAATAAATTACTTTGACTCCCAACTTTAGCGCTGACTGAAAACCGCACGGACACACTCTTTGGTAATGCAATAGGAAATGTCTCCATCTACTATTATTGTGCTTTATGGGACCAGAATAAATGTATTTGAATTAGTTAATCCGCACCATGTTGGTATGAAACTACAAAGAAAAAGAAAAATGTTGACAAAATGATGTCAACAATATGAAGTGCATTACATATTACATAACGTCAGGGTTTTGGTGAAGGAACTGTAATAAATAGTTTTGTGTTTGTTTATTAAAAAAAGGTTTATTTTATTTGTTTTATTTATTTTATAAGAAAATAAAACTTTAATTTATTAAATGTATGATTAAATATTTCATTTGTTAATGTTTTGTTGGCCTCTCACTTTTCCATGTAATTATACTATTTAGGTATAGTATTTTTAATTATAATAAATTATAATAAAAAATATTATAAATAATTGTAATTATACTATTAGGTATAGTATTTTTTTATACTATCTAAAAAATACTGGGTTATTTTAACCCATTTTTGGGTCAAATATGGACAATCCCAAATGTTGGATTAAAAAATACAGTTAATAAATTGCCCAACAGTTGGGTTTGTCCATATTTGACCCAAAATTGGGTTAAAACAACTCAGAATTTTTTTTAGAGTGTACATAAGCAATAGGACATTTTAGTTTTAGACAGGAACATTTAAAGGATACAACAAAAAAAAAAAAATTAGAGAGAATCAGTGAACTTAAGAATAATTTTGTGAATATGAATCAATAAAAATGTAACTGTTGTCTGATTTTGAGTATTTTAAAATGTAATTTAATATAATTGAAAGTATTTATTTTTATCTGATTACGTAATCCTAATTACATATAATCAGTTACTACCCAGCATTGTCACCAGAACACCTCAATGCTCAATTTGCATACTCTAAAACGCCACCAAGCAAACTCTCAGGACAACATAATAACTAACTAACAACCAATAGGACACCCTAGTAACCACTAAACATCCTAGTTAATAAGCATCTCACAGTAGCCCAGAACAACTGCATAGCAACACCCTGGCAACGTCCTGCAAACGCCTGGGTTTGGTATAGTCAGATACCACTCACATTTTCATTCATAAGTAGTAGAGCCAGACCGATATATCGGCAGGCCGATATTATCGGCCGATATTAGGCATTTTCCAAACTATCGGTATCGGCAGTTATAATGGCCGATAAATGAATATTTAAAAAAAAAAATGAAAACAGACGAAACACGCTTGAACCATGTCATGAGTGTTGGAGTTGTATAGTTTGTCCACCAGAGGGCACTCTACACCGCTCCTGTTGGCAACACTCGTTGAGTTGGTCACGATACATACATTGCTTGAATAACAATTAAAAGAACATCCCCATCAGTTCTCTTAACCCAAATAAGCGTGACAAAATTTGTGACTATCATGTCCAGTTTCAAATAAATAAATAAAATATTGGCCGATATATCGGATTTTAAAACCCAAAAATATTTGTATCGGTATCGGCCTTCAAAATCCTTTATCGGTCGGGCTGTAATAAGTAGTGTAGTACTCCCCAACGCCCTAATGAAGGCCAGTGGGGCGATACACGTTGGTGTTTTTTAATGGTTTAGTCCTCGCTTTTTTACTTTTGTAACCTACTGAGTGCCTGGACTTGGGTTTTTTTCCAATTTATATGAACATTTAACCCTTCCAAGAGCACCAGAGGATACAAGGGACATATCTTATTATGTTGTGTTGTTCTGGATTGAACAGCTCATATTCCCTCAATTGACCTTTGTTTATTGTTTTCCTATAGTTTAGACCGGCCAGCAAGCAGTTTCAGCTTCTTCCCAGAGTCAGAGGCCAGTGGGTGCACCTCAGCCTCAAACAAGGAAAAGTGCAGGAGTCCGGATAAAGAAGAGGCTGAATGTCAAGGAACTGAGCTACAAAACAGCAACGGACAAACAGAGATTTCTGGGAGGTGCCACAAATCAGACTGTAGTGGTAGAACAGAGGCCTTAAAACTTTTGAACCAAGGACAGTCTTCCAAGTCAGCGGACGGTTGGGATAACCAAGGATTCGGTTCATCAGGGGAGAACCAAGTAGAGGATACCGGGAGGTGTCAAGAGGAAACTGAGGAGTCAGATTGCATTGGGAGGAGTCAAGAGGACAGTGGAAAGAGTCAAGCAAGGACAGGGAACAGTGAGACTCAAGAGGAACCCAAAACAAGTGACACATCTAAGAGTGTCCAATCCGCTGATCTCACTGACAATCCAGGGGTGAGTTATATCCATTATTATCAGACAATTTGTTGACCCATATCATTTTATCTGGTACAGATTCAGTGTCCACAAAGAGCTGTGAACCTTGGATGTATTTGCTGATAAAAACGTCTTCATTTAATTTCCATTACACCCTTGGAATCAATTGCCAAAACCTGTAATTCCCCTCCCTCTTTTTTACCTGAACTCAAGAATGTTTTTCACGTTTAAGGAATGCAACCTTTCCAGTGTTTTGGTTCTCATATTCTGCTAATTGAGGAAGCGGTGTAAGTGTTTTTGTTTGATCTAAGACAGGGGTGTCCAATCCTGTTCCTGGAGGGCCACCTTCCTGCAGAGTTCAGCTGCAACCCCAATAGGCCTATGTTACACTTCCTGCTTCCGGAACGTAATTCCGGTCAACAGTATTTCTCGATAAGGATTTAGATTATCAGCCCTAAAGTCTAAAGCCGCCCAGCTCCACCCCTGATCCCTAAACCCAGCCCTAAACCTACCCAACTCCACCCCCGGATCTTTAAACCCACCCCTATACCTTCCCAGCTCCACCCCCTGATACCTAAACCTACCCAGCTCCACCTCTGATCCCTAAACCCACCCCTAAACCTACCCAACTCAACCCCCTGATCCCTAAACCCACCCCTAAACCTACCCAACTCCACCCCTGAACCCTAAACCCAGCCCTAAACCTACCCAACTCCACCCCCTGATCCTTAAACCTACCCAACTCCACCCCTGATCCCTAAACCCACCACTAAACCTACCCAACTCCACCCCTGATCCTTAAACCCACCCCTAAACCTTCCCAGCTCCACCCCCTGATCCCTAAACCCACCTCTAAACCTACCCAGCTCCACCTCCTGATCCCTAAACTCACCCCTAAACCTACCCAGCTCCACCCCTGAACCCTAAACCCAGCCCTAAACCTACCCAACTCCACCCCCTGATCCTTAAACCTACCCAGCTCCACCCCTGATCCCTAAACCCAGCCCTAAACCTACCCAACTCCTCCCCCTGATCCTTAAACCTACCCAGCTCCACCCATGATCCCTAAATCCAGCTCTAAACCTACACAGCTCCACCCCCTGAACCCTAAACCCACCCCTAAACCTACCCAGCTCCACCCCTGATCCCTAAACCCACCCCTTAACCTACCAGCTCCACCCCTGATCCCTAAACCCAGCCCTAAACCTACCCAACTCCACCCCCTGAACCCTAAACCCAGCCCTAAACCTACCCAGCTCCACCCCCTAATCCCTAAACCCTCCCCTTAACCTACCCAGCTCCACCCCTGATCCCTAAACCCACCCCTAAACCTACCCAGCTCCACCCCTGATCCCTAAACCCACCCCTAAACCTACCCAGCTCCACCCCCTGATCCCTAAACCCACCCCTAAACCTACCCAGCTCCACCCCCTGATCCCTAAACCCACCCCTAAACCTACCCAACTCCACCCCCTGATCCCTAAACCCAGCCCTAAACCTACCCAGCTCCACCCCCTAATCCCTAAACCCTCCCCTTAACCTACCCAGCTCCACCCCTGATCCCTAAACCCACCCCTAAACCTACCCAGCTCCACCCCTGATCCCTAAACCCACCCCTAAACCTACCCAGCTCCACCCCCTGATCCCTAAACCCACCCCTAAACCTACCCAGCTCCACCCCCTGATCCCTAAACCCACCCCTAAACCTACCCAACTCCACCCCCTGATCCCTAAACCCACTCCAAACCTACCCAATTCCACCCCTGATCCCTAAACCCACCCCTAAACCTACCCAACTCCACCCCCTGATCCCTAAACCCACTCCAAACCTACCCAATTCCACCCCTGATCCCTAAACCCACCCCTAAACCTACCCAACTCCACCCCCTGATCCCTAAACCCACCCCTAAACCTACCCAGCTCCACCCCTGATCCCTAAACCCACCCCTAAACCTACCCAGCTCCACCCCTGATCCCTAAACCCACCCCTAAACCTACCCAACTCCACCCCCTGATCCCTAAACCCACCCCTAAACCTACCCAGCTCCACCCCCTGATCCCTAAACCCACCCCTAAACCTACCCAGCTCCACCCCCTGATCCCTAAACCCACTGGATCCAACTCCGCCCCTTGGATCTTGTGTACTGCAATGAGGTGCTACTGGTTTATCCTCTCTACAATCATAATGATTTAAATGTGAATTCTCTGCCTTTTGCAACATGCAAACACTGTACAGTTTCTCTTCCCTTATAAGACATTCACTAAAATAGCATTTGTCTCTGAAATTGTTGTCCTGTTTTGTTTGGGTGCACAGGAAGCCAAAGATAGCTTTGGTAGCGTTTAGATGAGATGAGAATGGATTTAAACGAATATGGAATGCATTCCATTGGGAGAATGAAGGAGTCTCCTCTCTCCTCGATCTGTATCTTGAGCTGTGTTTATACAACAACTCGACAGACAAATGGCTAAACACAATTGAAACTGCAAGACCCATTATGATTTGCTGCATTAATGACTCATGCATATTTTTAGACGTGTGAGATAAGATGTTAGAGGTAATATAAGCAAGGGCTTCGCTGTTGATGTTGTTCACACATTTATTCTGCAAAGAAGTTTTTTTCGTCTCTTGATATTGACCGTTTTTGGCACTCGTCATCACTGTAGCAGTATATATGATGCCATCTTTGCTCAAGGGAAACATTTCCTCTTGAACCTATTTGGGAGGCAGGAACAAAAGATTGGGCTTTGTGATAGGACAAATGCCAGAGAGGGAAACATGCATACATTTTGCCTTGAACATAGGCAGTTTTACATCATGGTTAAGAGGTTCCTTTACAAAAATGTATTTATTATTTTTTATAAAGAGAAAAAAAACACACGCATCTGGATGTAGATACACTACTGTTATTATTTTGTGTTGTCTTGGTGTTACAGGTATTCACCAATATGAGTTGTTGAAGGGGTGAAAATAAAATAAGAAGAAGCTTGTTTTCTCATTTTATATCATTTTAAGACCACCTTGAAGTTTGTCAGCCCTTCTGAGAACCACTGATTTAGTGAGCATGTTGGCCGATAGTATATAATGCCAACATATATACATAATACAGTTTAAACACAGCAAATGAGAGGCATGAAATGAAAACTCAACAGAAATAAGTACTTTTCCATTAAAAAAGCTTGGCTTTCGAGCTGTCAGAATGGCAAAGTGTCATTCGTTTAATCAGGCTATTTGATTGTTTTCATTGAGGTACCTTGGAGTTTAGAAGTATATGAATATCGAGTTCGGTATGTGCACTTACTTGTACTTACAGTGTACTTACCTAACATACTGGTAATATAAGGTTAACTACATGGTGTTAAGTTTAGGGATAGGTTCAGTGTACCTAGTTATTGCAATTACTATAATAAGTACATCGAATGCACATGGGCAACAGGACTGTAAAATAAGTGCTACCGAATATGGCAATCATTTAGTAGCATGATATTACCATCAATGTAACACAGTACTGTCACAAACAGTACTGTTTGGTAATAGTTTTTTTTTATGTGTTATGTTTGGTGTGTGTCTGTACAGGACCAAGAGGACCAATCTGCTGTATGTCAGTTCACGCGCTCACAGGGTGAGCAAACTCCACTAAAGAGAGCTCATAGTTCTTTGACAGAGTGTGTCACCCCTTTTATCTTCCCCCACACACGCTCTCGACCCCCTCTCACCCCTACCATGCCCACCCTGCCCGAGGAAGAGGAAGACTCCCCAGAGGAGCTCGACAGTACATCCAGCTCGCCCTCCACAGTGAGTCAAACTATATTTTTCACATCACAGCCGTGACGCCTTTTCATTTCATCTCAGGTCCAGATCAGGCTTTTCACTGTTGGAAATCTTTTAACGGGATACTCCACTTTTTTGGAAATAGGCTCATTACCACTCCCCCAAACAGTTGGGTTTTATCGTTTTCGAATATATTCAGACGATTTTTTGATATTTAGAAGAATATCAGTTACCAGACAGTTTCTGGTCTCATTGACTTCCATAGTATATTTTTTTCCTGCTATGGAAGTCAATGAGACCAGAAACTGTCTGGTTACTGATATTCTTCTAAATATCAGAAAATCGTCTGAATGGATTTGAAAATGGTAAAACTCAACTGTTTAACTCTGGGGGAGTGGTAAAATTTGCCTATTTCCAAAAAAAGTGGAGTATCCCTTTAAGTCGAAAGATATGTGTAGTAATGGCACTTCTGGGAGGATAGACAGACATTTTGGCTGATTTTTGACTTTCAGGAAAAATGACCTGGTAGGTGGTGCATGGGTTCTGATATATTGTGTGGGCACGATGACCCAAGATGGAATCCAGCTTCCATTTAAAAGCTATGTTCACGGCACGCCAACATTCAGTCTATTCAGAACAATGCGGAAAAACAGCAAGGCAGCGATGTGCAATTTTCTGACATCCACTTGTCATCCACTGTTTGGAGGAAGTCAAACAGTATTTGCATATTTTTCAGGCAGGTGTTGAGATTGTTTGCATTTTTTATGGGGATCAAGAGACAAGAAAGCTGGTTCCAGATACTTCCTGTGCTATATGCCACCAAGTCATAGTTTTATATAACAGCTACAGTATGTGTCTGGGTAACAGCTATATATAAAAAAAAAAAAAAAAAAGTGGATTATCCCTTTAAGGCCATGACACACCAAGCTAGCCTTTTTTCAGCGTCTGTCAGATCAGTTTTTGTGGTGTGTTTCTCACCGCCTCGGCTGTTTGGCCGCAGTTGAGTCGGTGAGAAAGATCACTCTGATTGTCTGTGATTGACATCATATTTGGACTTCTGTGCATGCTCTTTGAGGTGGTGACCATAGACCTCCATTATATGACTGATAGACATGGTTTGACCTAAAAATTTAAAAATTGAAACTACTGCGGAAACAAAGACACCTTAATCTTGGATGCCCTTGAGGTAAGCTAAAACATGCCAAACATTTATTTCGAAGTGAACTATCCCTTTAAAGACACCAAATATATAATATGTCCAGTCTTTTCTCCTTCAAACACATGCACTAATCACCTCACCTCTGACATCAATCCCTGGTTCAGCAGAGGAGAAAGAAAACTTCCTGAAAGACAACATTCCACTCTCAATTAGGATTCAGATATTATCAGGAGGACCCTAATGCCAGAATGGGTATTTGAAAAAATGTCACGTTAAGCAGAGAAGAACTATTGCTCCTCTGAAGACGAGCTTCAGGACACAAGCGGGATTTACTGTTCTGTTTTCCTTTTGGAGACCACAGACTGTTTGAACATTAAAGCCTGTCAGGGCTGTTGTTTCGGTTATTCTTGAGTGAGTTCAATCTACTCATGCAGTGACTCTTAAAAGGTTGGGACTCAGATAAGACCACTCTTTAAAATCACATTACACTTCAGTTATCTAATCCCAGAATAAAGGCCAAACAAATAAAGCTTCCACTCAGGACCGAACGACAGCAAGCTGCATTATAGTTCTTGTGTATGAAAGTATGAGCACTTAATGTTATGTGCCATGTTGTAAACGTGAATGAAACTTTTATTATAGAATGATTCTTTAACTATGAACAGATTGCAATCCTGCAGTGAAAGTATTTTTACATAATTTATATATAGTATACTGTATATATAAATACAGAAATGGATTTTCACAGTCTTCACAGATCAATTGTAGATCAACAGTATTTCATTACAGAATGAAAAAAAGAAAAACTATGTAATTGGATGATTGCAAAGACTAATATTATGCTTCCTCTCTTAAAGGGAATGTTATCAGAGCGTGTTCGTGTTGTTTTTCCCATGGGATTAAGCGAAGTATGTGTGAGATTTTCATTGCAGGGGCTAAAAAAAGTAAAGCTGCTTCTGCACAGTACAGTTGGAATAGTTTCCATACTTCCTCAGGACTGAATCACCATTTGCTCTAAATTTCTTTTATAAAACACCACAGAAATGGTTGTCACCATATCCAAGAGATGCTATGAAGCAACCTTGTGTTTCTTTTGCAGTACGCTCCTGTTGAAAGCAAGATGGTAAATGTAACCATGACTCCACCAGCTATTGTGCTTCCAAGACAAGTCGGCAAGCAGGACTCCTGTCCTCTGGAGAAAGCAAGGTATTAATGTCATAGACCCATTACAGGATTCCTAATCTCTTTGGATTTATTAGCCTTTAAACAACAGTTTTAGTAATCCAATCGTAAAAAAATCTGTTAAAAGAAGTCACTGTTTGTACTTGTGCTGAATGTGAACTTCTTCAGTGTTGGTATAATGTGATTTTAATCTGTGTCCGTCAGACCACACAGCCCTAGGCCTCGTCTCTCCCGAAACTCTGCATCATCATGTCCCATCACCACAGTGGGTATGTTCAACTATACATGTAAACATACAGTTTTAGATATTTTGTAGTGTTTGGGGATAATTATGTTTTCATGTGGGTGGGATAATATATGCAATGTAAAAATCTCAATGGGCCGGATTTACTAAACAGGGCAAAAAGCGCCAATAAAAGTGGAAGGTTCTGCTCTAGATCCACTGGCGACACGCAAATTAAAGAACACAGACGCAGCCGAATCATTTTCATTATAATCAACGCAATCTACCAAGAGCAGCACAAATTAGCATCTGATTTAAAGGTGCATTGTGCAACATTTCACGTTAAAAATACCCGTTTTTCTTAAAGGGTAACTAAACCCCTGGTCAGAGCCTGATTCCACCCACTGGCAATATTTGAAAATGCTGAAAAAGTGGGCTGACCCCAGCGGAGATAGAGGGGACGAAATAGATGCTAAAACACTCTATCCTGATCGTTTTCAAAACTCACAATTCCAATTCCTGACTCCCTACAGTGGTTTTGACGACACAAGATGGTTTTTATACTCTGAAACCTGCGTACGTCACGAAGTGCGGAACATCCAATAGGAAAATTCAACTGCAGTAGCCACCGTTCAACCTGAAGAGGGCAGCACTAAGACGTTTTTACACCATATATTGTAGAAATAGAACACTTTATAAACAAATGTCAAAAACAAACTCGAATCAATCACTGGTATTAGTAAAGATCCATTCTTACAGATCATTAACTAAAAAAAGTTGGTTAAGTGTTTAGTTACTCTTTAAACAATTGCCTGATGGGCTGAATGAGCCCTTCTCTGATCACTGCGATTGCCTCTATAATCCTGTACAGTAAAATAAATAAGAGGGATTCGGGACGGAGTTTGAGACGTCATGCGCGTTCACGCTCACCTGGCGATGTCTGGCAGGGTTGTGTATTCACCGCCATTCTCCGTATCAGCGAAGACAACTCGAGCGACAAAAAACGTTAGTCAACTTTCGACAAAAGTAGAAGATGGATTAAAGAGACCGGCTTGTAGTTCATTCCAACGTTTGTCTAGTGCCAGGTGCCGGAATAAGACGAGAGTCAACATCGGGAAGGCTCCGGTCTGCTCTAGGTCTCAAACAGGATCCTATACAAAGTAATAACTTCGGTTACACTTTATTTCGATAGTCATTTTAGACGTTCTACTAATTATAAGTAACTTTTCAACTACATGTCAAGTATCTCTCATTAGAGTTTTAGTATATTATAGTAGACTGTCAGTAGTTAGGTTATGGTTAGGTGTTGGGCTTTGGGTTAGGAGAATACGTTTACTTGTAGTCGCCAAGTTACTTATTGTCAGTTGAATTTCTGTTGGGGGACCAACAAAATAAAGTGTTAGCAGATATTAAGCTGACAGTCTACCTACTAATACGATAATACAGTTAGTTGACATGTAGTTGAAAAGTTACTTATATTTAGTAGAATGTCGAAAGTGGACTATTGAAATAAAGTGTTACCATAACTTATATTGTTAGTGAACGTGTTTCCATAATAATACCATCATAAGTGGACACAGTAAGCACATAAAACAGTTCAACATGGAGATAGATGGAAACAAAAACTGAAGTTTTCTACTACCCCCGTTTTCCCCTCACAAACACATAAGTGTGTAATTTAAAGTCTTGCAGATTTATAAATTATTACCTCTGAAGACATTATGACTGTAACAAAAGATTTGTGCAGCTGATGATCCTTTGGTTGCGTGTGTGTGTGTGTGTTTGGTCCATGAGCGTGCACACCTCTGATTGCAGTTTCGCTTGTCACCAGAGGGGGCGTAGTTCTGCAAAAACTCAGAGACTTGCGCAATGCACCTTTAAGAAATGCTTTTTTGCGGCGGTAAAACCAGTAAATTGACTACCGCGAATCTTTGTAAATCATGTTGCGTGATATATTTAAATACTCTCTTCCCATAAATTTTCCATCTGAAAGGGAAACTCCTACAAATGCATATGCAATAAGGTCCATGCCTCATTTTTTACTGCATGTCTTTAGGGAATCCTGACAGTAGTTTTTTAACACCAAAAAAAGGGTTTGTGGTTTAAATTTGATTAATTCTTATATTATACATTAGGTATGGCTGTGATAGAAGGAAAGCGTGCAAAATAACTGAAACGCTTCCACTTTTTTGCTTCTCCCTTGAGATGATTTGCGGGGGTGGTGTGTTTTACAGCTGTGCTTAGGTTGTGTGTGCTCATTTGTGTTTGAGATGATGATGGACATGTGATAGACCTGGTGAAGGACCCTCTTCCTGAGCTGAAGTTATCTGAGGAGGACCGTCAGAAGAATCTGGAGCTGCTCGATGAGGCCAAGAAAGTCAGCGATCGCTTCTTGCAGCGCAGGGGCCGACGCTCCACCTGCAGCCTTTCGGACTCCCCCACAGGTACAACATGATTACAGCCCCATTCAGGGGGAACATAGAGGGCCTTAAAGTAGTAGTTCACTTTTTAAAAAAAACTTTTGCTTATAATTTATTCACCCCCATGTCATCCAAGATGTCCATCTCTGTCTTTCTTTAGTCAAAAAGAAATTAAGCTAAACCCTAAAATTTCACGTTCACGCCGCAGCTCCATTCCAGAGAGATAATAGCACAACCTTGAGGCGGATGGGCTACAACAGCAGAAGACCCCATTGGGTACCACTCATCTCCACTACAAATAGGAAAAAGAGGCTACAATTTGCAAGAGCTCCCCAAAATTGGACAGTTGAAGACTGGAAAAATGTTGCCTGGTCTGATGAGTCTCGATTTCTGTTGAGACATTCAGATGGTTGAGTCAGAATTTGGCGTAAACAGAATGAGAACCTGGATCCCATCATGCCTTGTTACCACTGTGCAGGCTGGTGGTGGTGGTGTAATGGTCCGGGGGATGTTTTCTGCGGATCATATTTCGTAATCATAAACTCATAAACTAATTTTAGAGCGATATCAATGTGATTAGGAGATAAGGAGGAAACTGCGGTTTTACCAAAGTCAACGGCTCTGGCCTAAAAAGGGGAGGAGCTGTTTGTCCCAGCTTGTCTTCCTGTTTTTGTGGGAATTACATCAACACATCGAATAATACTGTGTGTTTCAAGGCACTTTAGTGGACCTTTAAAGGGATAGTTCACTTTGAAATTAATTAAAATTAACATTTTTTTTATATGTTTTAGCTTACCTCAAGGGCATCCAAGATGTAGGTGTCTTTGTTTCCACAGTATTTTCAATTTTGACATTTTTCAGTCAAACCGTTGTTGTCTATCAGTCATACACTGGAGGCAAAGGGGGTCCACCAAAAAGCATGCACAGAGAAGTCCAAATTGAACATGATTTAATGACTCGTAAATGTAAGTACACATTGATGGCCTAAGACACGAAACGAGCGTTTTTTGTGAGAAAACGAACAGTATTTATATCGTTTTTACCTCATGTAATCACAGTGACGTCCAAGTGCGTCCGGGGCGGCAGTGGCTCAGTGGTTCATGTGGGTTGTCTACGAACCGAAAGGTTGGTGGTTCAATCCTCGGTTCCACCTGACCAAGTGTCGAGGTGTCCATGAGCAAGACACCTAACCCCAGACCGAAGCGCCCGTGCCGTCAGATCATTTTGTCATGGCTATGATTACAAGAGGTAAAAACAATATAAATACTGTTCGTTTTCTCACACAAACCGCTCGTTTCGTGTCTTAGGCCATCAATGTGTACTTACATTTACGAGTCATTAAATCATGTTTAATTTTGACTTCTCTGTGCATGCTTTTTGGTGGACCCCCTTAGGCTCCAGTGTATGAACAACAACGGTTTGACTGAAAAATGTCAAAATTGAAAATACTGCGGAAACAAAGACACCTACATCTTGGATGCCCTTGAGGTAAGATAAAACAGACCAAAAATTAATTTCAAAGTGAACTATCCCTTTAACAAAAGGTTTCCTTCAACAATAATGTTTGAGTTTCTAGGCAGTTGCGCATATCATGTAAAAGTTACAGTGTTTAGGTTTCACATGGTATTTCCTAACAGGAATTTAAAGATTGTCTCATGTTAACATTTATAATGTTTAAGTCTTGTTTCTATAGCTTGAGAACTGTGTGTTTTATCATTTATCTCAGTCACGTCCCATAGACTTCCATTGTAAACGCCGTACTGTAAACACTATTTCCTGTGGTAACTGACAGCCTGTCAAGTTGTCAACCAAGCCACTGCACAATTACTTGGTTATATAAAATAATTTCCCATTGATAGTAAAAAACGAAGAACACTTCTTCCAAGTGGTGAATGTTTTTGTTGCGATCTTGAAATGTTTATTTCAGAAGCAGCTTGTTTATTTCAGCTTTTGCGATTCCCTTGCTTATCAGGCTTTCACATCATGTCCGCATCATGTCCTCAAATGTCTTGAGCACCAGCCAAAATTCCTCCTTTATCCTGCAAACCAGCCACAGCATACCGACTTGAGCATATTCATAGGTCGATAAGAGACAAAGCGAAGTAATATCCAAACGTTGTCTTTGTGTTACAGCTCTCTCCCCGAACCCAACGCCATGCTCCTCCCCCAGACTATCCAGAAGCAGTTCCCTCTCCGCACCCCCACAACTAGGTACCATTTCTGTCACATTTGCCTTGCAGAGAGTCCCTTTCCATGGTTGATCTAAACTAAATGGTTTCGTTTGATTCACCAGGTCCTGAGGTCTTCGGGACTCCTCCAGCAAGTCCCTCCATATCTCAGGTGAGCGTCACTTCTAATTCCCTTTTATATAGCGTTGAAATTGTGTCCGTTTAGTGATGATAAATGTTTTGTTGGTTTGTGTTTGTTTATGTGGTCAGCATCTGGAGGTACCATCTACCAATGACCAAGAGGATACGAGTAAACCGGAGCAGGAGGTTTGTGTAACTAATGTTTAAAAGCATTAGCAAAGTCCCCATACTACTCTTTACTCTTATTGTAGCCTATAATGTTAGTCAAGTGCTAATGTAGTTCATCATGACCTTTTCCTTTCTAATGCAGTCTGAAGTACATTTGAAACAAGTAATAACTATGTTTTACTCTCAAAATCTGCATTACAGTTCACACTGACTTTTCAACTGCAATTATTAGGTCCATTGTGAAAAAGAAGTACACATTAGCATGTTGAATGTTTAAGGGATAGTTCACTTTGAAATTAATTTTCGGTAAGTTTTAGCTTACCTCAAGGTTATCCAAGATGTAGGTGTCTTTGTTTCTGCAGTAGTTTCAATTTTTATATTTTTAAGTAAATCCGTTTATAATGGAGGTCTATGGTCACCACCTCAAAGAGCATGCACAGAGAAGTCCAAATTAAACATAATTTAATGACTCGTAAATGTAAGTACACATTGATGGCCTAAGACACGAAACGAGTGGTTTGTGTTAGAAAACGAACAGTATTTATATCGTTTTTACCTCTTGTAACCACAGCCACGTCCAAGTGATCTGAGGGCGAGGGAGGTTTCAAGAGGTAAAAACGATATAAATACTGTTCGTTTTCTCACACAAACCGCTCGTTTCGTGTCTTGGGCCATCAATGTGTACTTACATTTACGAGTCATTAAATCATGTTTAATTTGGACTTCTCTGTGCATGCTCTTTGAGGTGGTGACCATAGACCTCCATTATATGACTGACAGACAAGAACGGTTTGACCTAAAAATATCAAAATTGGAACTACTGCAGAAACAAAGACACCTACATCTTGGATGCCCTTGAGGTAAGCTAAAACATACCAAAAATTAATTTTAAAGTGAACTATCCCTTTAACTAGAGTAACTTATTATGAAATGATGTACTGAAGCGTAAACTGAATGTAATTGTAAAAGTATGGGGAAGAAGGAAGTGAGAACCGGCTAATCTTTAACATGAATTTTAATGACAAAATGCCATGCGAAACGTGCTGCAGCCACTCTTCTGTTCAGGAACGGAAAAGAAACGACAACAACAAATGCCACACATCTGGAGCATTCGCTTTTATGCACTTGTTCTCTCCTTAATCATCAAACTCACTTTTTTGTTTTTGTTCTTTTGCTCCAGACCTTCACGAGGCTAGTAGAGTGGATGCCTAGCGACAAGAAAAAAAAGGTGTCCTCTGGAACTTTAACCCCGCGTTATGCCACCGCCGTGCCAGCCAGAGATCCCGCCGGGGTTCAGAAGGAGAAGCCGGACCATCATAAAGCAGTGGACAAGGGGACGAACTCTGAACACACAACCCAGAAAAAGGAGGAGACTCCTGGCCATGGTGTTAGTCAACCTCTCACCACAGGGGTCGCCAAACCCGTCCCCCGGCCACCCATGCAGCAAGCCCCATGCACGGCCGAAATCAAAACAATAGGCGCCTTCCCGCCTCTAATGAGAGCCGTCTCCTGGGACACGGTGGGCTCCATGAACATGAGGAATGCTGCTCCCATAGGCGAGGAGAGTCTGTCCTACCCTGACAAATCAAGGGAGTCTCTGTTTAAGTCCTCTGGGTACAAGGACTTCCCTGTGCCACCTGGGACCATTTCAAAACTGTCCAGTTTGCGTGAGGTAAACTTTTGTTGTCTTTGGCCAATGTGGTAACCATGCTTTTTCAATAGTTTAATGCTCCTTTTTATGGATTTCTCTGAGATTTGAGCCCAGATTTGGTCCGATTTCACAAGGATAGACTTTGACTATGGCTTAGATAGTAGTTAGTCTTCAGATAGACATCTAAATCAGACCATTGCACAAAGCAATTAAAGGAGTAGTTCACTTTTGAAAAAACTTTTGCTGATAATTTACTCACCCCCATGTTATCCAAGATGTCCATGTCTTTCTTTCTTCCGTCGAAAAGAAATTAAGGTTTTTGATGAAAACATTGCAGAAACTTTAGGTACAAACTGCAAACTTGTTCAAAGGGCTTTAAACGATTCCAGACGATGAATCAAGCGAAACGATCGCTCGTTTTATAAATAAATAACAAAGTTTAAGTTTTATAAGCTCAAACGCTCGCCTTGCTCTGTTATAACGCACTCCTGTTCGAACTCGTTCATCAAAATGAATAAATCTTTTTCCGGGTCATTTGGTTCATTCAGCGAAAGAAACGAACGAATTGATTCGGAAAAAGATTTGTTCATTTTGTTGAACGAGTTCGAACAGGAGAGTCACGAACGCGCGTCACAGAACAGAGCAAGGCGAGCGTTTGATCTTATAAAACTTAAACTTTGTTATTTTTTTAAAAAAATGAGCGATCGTTTCGCTTGATAAGACCCTTATTCATCGTCTGGAATCGTTTAAAGCCCTTTGAACAGTTTGAAGTTTGTACTGAAAGTTTCTTTTGGACATTGAACCGTTTGGTTCCTACTGAAGTCCATTATATGGAGAAAAATCATGGAACGTTTTCATTAAAAACCTTAATTTCTTTTCGACTGAGGAAAGAAAGACATGGACATCTTGGGTGACATGGGGGTGAGTAAATTATCAGCAAAAGTTTTTTGAAAAGTGAACTACTCCTTTAAGACTCTCCTCGCTGTGTCCGAAATCTCCACTCAAACCACTACTCCCGACCCCCTATGTAGGACACTACTCGATCGTCTCTCGCCGCCGTTGATTACGTCATTGCTGTCGCACTTTTTAAATGCGCCATCATCTGTCAGCTGGTGCCGCTAATGTAATGTATTTTAAATAAATACATTACATTATATTGAGCTTATTTCACCAAAATTTAAAAGCCAAAAGTCATTTCTAGTCGTTTCTGTTATAATGCTTATTCCACACGTGATTATAACTTATTTTTACGATCAGCGCAATGCATGATGGTATGTAGGGCTTGGGTTAGTGACCATCGGTTGTACACTACTTTTCAAAATGCATTCTGGGATACATTGAGTGGACTATATAATAATCATCATTATACATTCGGACAGCACTACAAAATTGCGACCTTACTATATAGTCCACTATTGAGTAGTGGGTGATTTCGGACACAGCATCTACACTGCAATGCATTCTGGGTAAAATAAGACCATTTTCAAAACAAAAAAACATTGCGGATCGAGTAAGCACATTCAACCGCTCAGTGCAGTTTACCCCAGTGAAAAATATGAGTTTGTTGGAGTGTAACAGTTACAAAGACATTTTCCTTGGGAAATTTAGCGGAGAATATAGTAAGAAGAAGAAATGTTTAATTTTAGGGATGCACCGATATGAACATTTTGGCCAATACCGATAACCGATAATTCTTTATATTTAAAAGCCGATAACCGATATATTGGCCGATAAACCTGAATCCAATTTTTATATAATTTTTGAAAGCCTGATTGCAAAAACAAAAGTCTCACAATTAAAATCCGTCCCCTAACACAATTATAATGTTCTCATTATAATTTCATGTAGCCGATATGACAGCACATTTTGCACTTAACTATATTAAGATCAATCATGTTGAACAGTGCGCATCTTAAGTGTCTCCGGTCTCAAGTGTCGAAGGAAATAATTCATTATTTATCAGCTTTAATATATCAGCCAAATTTTATTATCGGGTCGGTAACGATAACATAAAAATGAGCAAATATCGGCCGATACCGATATAGTGGCCGATATATCGTGCACCCCTATTTAATTTGGAAAAAGATTGCTACAAAAGTTAACAGCGTTAATCCGACCATTGAGCAGAGCGTTAAAGACATACAGAAAAGATACAAAAACAGTGCAAGATGCCAAATAATACATATTTAAGAGGAAATATCCACAAACGGGAGGACACTTAAAGAGACACTTAAAGACACTGAAATGGTGATGTGTTGAAATGGCTATGTTTTCTTTCGGCTGTTTGTAATGGTAACAGAGTCTTAGACCTAAGTTAGCCTCGGGGTAACTAAGTCAGTCTTTATTTTTGTGAAACAATCCAAGTTGTATTAGACTAGTCTATGAGCGAATCTTAGACGTGGAATCACTATTTGAAAGTTGGTTTATGGTTTTCATTCCTCTTCTAGGAGCACAAGCTGGTGCGTAACCCGAGCATCTACAGCTCGAAGCTTCCTGAACTGAGTGAAACAGCCGAGCAGGAACGAGGTGCGATCTTAATTCAGACTTATTGCAGCTTATTTTTAAGGGCCAAGCACCAATGGATCATATTTTTGGCACCATTGGATAGAGCTCATTGAGACCTTTGTTTTGATATAAAGAACTCAAATTCGCCCCAAAATGCCACTTGAGCCCTCGAATTGCGATTAATGGTGATTAATCATTTGACAGCCCTAAAATATTCAGAATATAAACACTTATCATAGGCGTACCATAGTGATTCAGACTTTAAATATGATTGGTTCATCTCTCAGGTCCACCCTCTCCACTCACGAGCTCTCCCAGTGAAGAGGAGGCCAAAGAGAGACCTGACGCTATGCCCAACATTTCAGATGTCATGCTACGCAAGCTTAAACTGCACAGGGGTTTACCTGGCTGGTACGCTCATAAATCCATCATTTGAACATAGAAATATCAATGACCTACTAATAATCCCCTCTTGTTTTGTTGCAGCGCACCCCCGCTCTCAGAGAAGGAAGTTGAGGTGTGTATATTCTTGAGTTTCGCATTATTTTTCTTTTACAAATGTCATGGTTTTTACTCATATTTGACACTTGTTAGTTTTGGACTCATCACAGTTGCATCACAACTGAGCTAGTTCTGAGCTTGAGCTGTTTTGTTATGTAAGTGAAGGCCATGGCTGAGCCTGGCTTAGGACATGGCAATTTGATGGGCTTTAGTGAGTTCCTGTCCCCTGTGAGGAAACTAACATGCCTTTGTGAAGAGAATCTGCTCCCAGGATGACGCTAGTGAGGGTCAAGGGCTGGACGTACTTTCCTCTCTAATATTCAGACAATACTGGCTGTACTCCTGCCGCATCCTTTGATCCTGACAGTAATGTTCCCATGATATTGATGCTTTCCTTAGTCCTGCTCTCAAAAACACAACCCCTTGTAAAGTCAAGTTATTCATGTCTATTAGTCTGGATATTAAACCCTACAAAATTAAAAATGTACACTACCATAGAAATGTTGAGTGTCTGTACAGTATTTATTTATTTATTTTTAAAAGAAAGAAAAAAATGAAAAAAAAGTGAAATTGAACAGAAATCTTTCTTTAGCAGTAAATATATTAATATATATTAGATAGATATAGATATTAAAATATATTCAAATTTACATTTTAACCATTTTACTGTTTTTACTGTATTTTTTCATCTAATAAATGCAGCCTTGGTGAGACTTTTCCCAAAGCATTAAAAGTGTAAATACAGTAGTGCATTTTTCACAATAATTTGAATTATATTTCTTTATATAATCTGTTCTCAGGTCATGATCTGTACCTGAATAGTTTTTTATTAGTATATTTTCAAGATTTGTTATCACAACATATTTTTTTTTTGTCAAATCAACTTTATAATAATTTATTTAGTTGAGATAACTTATTATTTTGAGTTTCTGATGATTAAATTAATCTCCTTCTTTGTATTAACTCACTTTTACCAGTTCAATCAACTTAAAATTTTAAGGCAACCCAGATTACTTACTTTTTTAAGTGAAACCAACAATATTTTTTTACAGTGTAGTAATCACAACATTTTTTCTTTTGTCAAATCAGCTTAAATAATTTATTTAGTTCAGATAACATAGAATTTTGAGTTTCTGATGATTAAGTCATTCTCCTTCATTGTATTAACTCACTTTTTCCAGTTCAATGAACTTAAAATTTTAAGGCAACCAGGTTACTTATTTTTTTAAGTTAAACCAACAATATTTTTTTGCTATATATACATATTGACATTTAAATAAAATCTACAGACAGTGGAGACGTGGTTTTTAAATATAATTTTCAATGTATTTTTTTTACTTCTGATTACAAACTGAACAGTCAAATGAATTCATTAATGTGACTAAAGTCAATATCCTGTCAAATATATGACGCATAGCACTTCCTGAGAATGACACGCATGTAAATGAACTACTTTTCTCTATGATTTCTGCCAGAGGCATATTGAAACATGTGATATCAGTTGTGACAAATACTTTCACAGCAAATAGACGCATGTTGTGTTTTAATGGCCGTGTTTTCCATCAGAACGCATTTGTGCAGCTGTCCCTGGCATTCCGCAACGACAATTACACGCTGGAGTCGCGGCTGAAACAGGCGGAAAGGGAGCGCAACCTGACTGAGGAAAACTCAGAGAAGGAACTGGAAGAGTTTAAAGGCAGTCTCAAGGTCAGACAACCCACATAAACACACATGCTGGGAATAAACTAGAAAATAGCTTGATTTTTGTGTGTGTCTGCATGCCATTCCAGAGAACTGTGTCAGTGTGGCAGAATGTAGAGCAGCGTGAGTTTTACCAGCAACTCTTAGAAACGATCGCCGTATTACATCGCCTGACGAACCGGCTCTCCAGCAGGGCTGAAATGGTGGGAGCCGTGCGGCAGGTGAGATGCTCATCAATCCAGCGCCACAACTTCATGTGGACTTCTAAAGCTGCGGTCACCACAAATTTTAGAAACTCAGTTGTCAATAGTGTGGCGATGTATGATGCACAGCTCACTCAGAAGTCAATTTCAGGCCAAGAAAGTGACTTTTTGTTTGTCAAAGCGGCGAATTCACGTGACTAACTGAACCCGATTTGTGGAATCTGAGTGGGGAGCTTTTTTTACCCTGAAATTGTGGTCATATTAGCTCAATTTTGCGGTTCCACTTTATTTGCGTCCACTTTAGACATTCTGTTAACTATAAGTAACTTTGCAACTACATGTCAACTAACTCTCATTAGTAAACTGTAATAAACTGGTTAGGTGTTTGGGTTAGTAGAATAAGTTAACTTATAGTTTACTTATAGTCAGTTGAATGTTAGTTGAGGAGCATCAAAATAAAGTGTTTGCATATATTAAAGGAGTAGTTCACTCTTTTGCTGATAATTTACTCACCCCCATGTCATCCAAGATGTCCATGTCTTTCTTTCTTCAGTTGAAAAGAAATTAAGGTTTTTAATGAAAACATTCCAGCATTTTTCTCCATAATGGACTTCAATGGGAACCAAACGCTTCAAGGTCCAAAAGACAGTTTCAGTGCAAACTGCAAACTGTTCAAAGAGGTTTAAACGATTCCAGACGATGAATAAGGGTCTTATCTAGCGAAACGATCGCTCATTAAAAAAAGAAAAAAGTTGAAGTTTTATAAGCTCAAATGCTTGCCTTGCTCTGTTCTGTGACGCACGTTTGTGACTCTCCTGTTCAAACTCGTTTATCAAAATGAACAAATCTATTTTGTGTCATTTGGTTCATTCAACAAACGAAATGAACGAATTGACTCGGAAAAAGATTCGTTCATTTTGATGAACGAGTTTGAACAGGGGAGTCACGAACGTGCATCACAGGCGACCATTTGAACTTATAAAACGTAAACTTTGTTATTTATTTATTAAATGAGCCATTGTTTCGCTTGATAAGACCCTTATTCATCGTCTGGAATCGTTTAAAACCCTTTGAACAGTTTGCAGTTTGCACTGAAATTGTCTTTTGGATCTTGAACCGTTTGGTTCCCATTGAAGTCCATTATATAGAGAAAAATCCTGGAATGTTTTCATCAAAAACCTTAATTTCTTTTCGACTGAAGAAAGAATGAAATGGACATATTGGATGACATGGGGGTGAGTAAATCATCAGCAAACGTTTTTTTAAAAGTGAACTACTCCTTTAAGCAGACAGTCGACTAGTTGACGTGGCTGCAAAGTTACTTATAGATTGTAGAATGTCTACTATTGTCTAGGGTGGACTATTGAAATAAAGTGTTACCAATTTTGCATGCAAAAACTGGTCCATTGTCAATAGCATATATGAAGTTCTGCTCACACAGTGGTCACTTTCAATTAGAGCCAGACCGATATATCGGCAGACCGATATTATCGGCCGATATTAGGCATTTTCCAAACTATCGGTATCGGCAGTTATAATGGCCGATAAATGAATATTTCAAAAATAAAATAAAAACGGACGAAACACGCTTCAACCATGTCATGAGTGTTGGAGTTGTATAGTTCGTCCACCAGAGGGCACTCTACACCGTCCCTGTTGGCAACACTCGTGTATAACGTGCCACACATCCTGCAACCTGCCGATCCAGATTGCAGGTAGCTCATAAGGCAATGTAGGGACTTATTATTATTTTACTTATCAGAACTTTAATATATTTTGATGTTCCTCTGTTCTGTTGTGACAATAAAAGAAAGAAGTTTCTTTTTTAAAATGCATTATCATATTATTTTACTTAACTCATAAATAACTACAAATAACTAATGTTAGGGAAATCTGTTAATGTTTTGTTGCACGTTTCTGAAATAAAAAAAATGTAAAAAAATATCGACCGATATATCGGAATATCGGATTTTAAAACCAACAAATATTTGTATCGGTACCGGCCTTCAAAATCCTTTATCGGTCGGGCTCTACTTTCTATCCAAGCAGCTGCACTGATCAACATGAACACGAGTGAAATCTGCGTGGGGAACGGGGAATGCTCAGATTCCTGTTGAAATGACTGGATTTTGCACATGAACAACTGTAAATGTGACCACACCTTCACGCAAACTCCCCGTCACGCAAATTCCTATTGAAATGACAGGATTTTGCCCTCAAACATTTGCCAAACAATGGCAAATGTGACTGGCACCTTTACCATTGCTCTACAACATTTGTTTGGGTGAAATCCAGTTATTTCAATATGAATCTACGTGATCCAGAATATTTATGTGAAGGTGTGGTCACATTAACAAGGCTTACCATAATTTTGTGGATAAAATCCTGTCATTCCAGGGATCCGCATGACTGGGAGTTTCGCGTGAGGGCAAAAAAAGTTCCCCAGACAGATTACACTCTTGTTCAAGTTCACTGCATTGACCAACAGAAAGCTGCTTGGTTTGAAAGGGACTTCTGTGTGAGCTGTGCTTCATGCATCACTACACTATTGACAGTGGACCTTGTTTTGCAAAAAGAGATTTTGGAGAAATGTTTCCTTCAGGGTTTCTCTCAGCCCCGCATTTTAAGTGCTCTTCATGTTTTCATTAGAAAACTATCCTTTGTCTCTGTGGAGGCACTTGATGGGAATGTTTATTTTCTGGCAGATAAGAGATGTTTGTGATAGATTTAGCCAAGTGTCATGCTTGCCCTTAGGTTAATGTGCAAGCTAAAGTAAACCAAGTTAACAGAGAAGGACTCAGCGGCATGTGTGTTGCCAGTGGTGACACTATTAGGCACTGCAGGGGTTTACTACACGTACAGTATCATTACCTCAACTCACCATTCCTTGCTCTTACATCGCATAACTTAAAGGGATAGTTCACTTTGAAATGAATTTTTTGATAGGTTTTATCTTACCTCAAGGGCATCCAAGATGTAGGTGTCTTTGTTTCTGCAGTATTTTCCATTTTGATATTTTTAGGTCAAACCGTTCTTGTCTGTCAGTCATATAATGGAGGTCTATGGTCACCACCTCAAAGAGCATGCACAGCGAAGTCTAAATTAAACATGATTTAATGACTCGTAAAAGTAAGTACACATTGATGGCCCAAGACACGAAACGAGCGGTTTGTGTGAGAAAACGAACAGTATTTATAAAGTTTTTACCTCTTGTTACCACAGCCACATCCAAGTGATCTGAGGCCGCGGGCGCTTCGGTCTGCGCCGAAAGTGATCTCTTGCACAGTTGCGGAAAAAAAAAATCGACGCTGTCTGTTGATTTACCGAAATCGTCCTCCATTGCAATTTCCTGTATATCTAAATATGATTAGATCTTCACAGTGAAGGGTAACACTTCTGAAATCTTCTGAAATTACTTGGACGTGACTGTGATTACAAGAGGTAAAAACGATATAAATACTGTTCGTTTTCTCACACAAACCGCTCGTTTCGTGTCTTAGGCCATCAATGTGTACTTACATTCACGAGTCATTAAATCATGTTTAATTTGGACTTCTCTGTGCATGCTCTTTGAGGTGGTGACCATAGACCTCCATTATATGACTGACAGACAAGAACGGTTTGACCTAAAAATATCAAAATTGAAACTACTGCGGAAACAAAGACACTTACATCTTGGATGCCCATGAGGTAAGATAAAACATACCAAAAAGTGAACTATCCCGTTTAATAGTGACAAATATGTTTGTTAATATCTTTTTAACACCCTCAAAACTCATCACATTTATTTTAACAAAAACGCATTCGAAGTCTACTTTTGCATAGTAGATTTGCATAGTAGAAAATGAGTGTGTGACACGGATTAAATATTTGATCATTTGCTCCACGTCATTGAAGACATGAATTTGAATTAACATCCTTGTTGGTCCAGCAACAACATTTGACACCTAGCAAATACTATATCCTTTTTTTGGGAGATAATCATTTTACTTGAATGGAAGCTTGAATAAAAATAAAATGGCTAATTGTAGCATTTTACCTCATTATTCAGATTTGTTTTTTATTACAATTGCAAGGTTATATCTCGCAATTCTGACTTTTTTCTCACAATTGCGAGTTTGTCTTTAAAGCTACACTGTGTAACTCTTTTAATTTATTCTTAGCTAAAAACACTTAGTTCTTTCAAAAATATATGTGCTCATTAATGTATATTTACTTCGTTCAAGTAATAAAGTATTCTCGTGATGTATAATATGCCATTGAAAATACATACGGGTAAGGGATTCTAATGTCGGTCGCCATGTTGCCCCTCCATTAGCCAAAGAGGGACATACCCGTTAATTCAAGCTTCGCCTTTCGCGTTTACGTTTGAGTTAACACTCATGGACGAAGTCGAACTGGAAGCCATGTTAATCTTGGACTACATTGGCCACCGTAGGAGTTAAAACGAAATCGGAATTGAGATTCACTGGATGGTAATATACCTTTTCACCACTAGTTGGGGATAAAAATCACACAGTGTAGCTTTAAGTCTAAATTCTGAGTTAAAGTCACAGTTACCTTTTTTATTTTTCGACAAATCCCAGAGTTCTGGATATGCTCTGTACACAGTGGGTTGTGCATATGATAACGTGCCTTTGCTTTGGCCATGGCAGGAGAAGAGAATGAACAAGGCCACTGAGGTTATGATGCAGTACGTGGAGAATCTGAAGAGGACGTATGAGAAGGACCACGCTGAGCTGATGGAGTTCAAGAAGCTCGCCAACCAAAACTCCAACCGCTGCTATGGGGGCTCAATAGACACTGGAGGTAAATGGAAATCATCCAGGACTTCAAAGCCACAGTTGTTTTGCCCCCAAACACGCCCGTTCATGTTTCATATTTCACTTATGCATTTCGTAATTCGTACAGATGATGGTGTTCCCCGTACATCAAGATCCATGTCTCTGCAAATGGGAAAGGTAGGCAGAAGTCTGTTCCTAAAGAATTCAAAAAGCCTGACGCCTTGATGATGGAAAAGTTTCTTCCAAGTAAAACTAATCTAAAATAGCTATAAATAAATAAAAATGAGATTAAGGCAACATTTTCATTCTAAAGGACATTTAATTGGATATATACGTTTGGATATGCCTCAAAGTACAAGATGACTTTTTACACAAATGGTGAGACTGTAAGTCATGTAGGAGAATTCACATTATATTTTAAATAAGTGCACTGCCGTTCAAAAGACTTTTTTTAAATGTTTTTTTAAATAGATGACTAAACAAGGCTGCATGTATGGATCTATATTACAGTAAAAACACTGATATTATAAAATAATGATACAATTAAATATGAAATATTTACAAATGCACTGATGATCTGTGTTGATCAATGTTCAGTGTCACATGATCCTTCAGAAATTATCCGAATATGATAATTTGCTGCTCAAACATTTCCTATTATTATTAATGTCTTCAACTCTTGTGCTGCTTAATACTTTTTTCAGGATTCATTGATAAATAGAAAGCTTTTACAGTATTTAAAATTGAAATCTTTCGTAAAATTATAAACGTGTCTACAATGTCACTGTGGACTAATTTAATAATTTAAATAACTAAATAAAAAATAAATAAAAAATCGTACTAACCCCAAACTGTTGAACGGTAGTGTATATGTACTGTAAGTTATTTTGTTAACTTTAGGACTACACTAGCATACAGATCAATTTGAAGCCTGAAAGCAACAAAACTTTCATTTTGTTTTCATGGGATCTTTAAGTTACATGTTTCATTGAAAACCATATTGGGCTTTACTTTTCTTCTGTGAATAAGTGCACTGATCTGCAGAATCTGTAATGTTACACACTTTTTAAAAATCTCTAAAAATATGATTTCTGAACCAAAGGTGCAACAAACAACCAATGAAAATCCTTTATTTTGAATCACGTACCAATAACATCAATAATGAACTCAAAAACCCACTAATCTGTTCTGACTGGATCTTATTCTCAACTGCACTATGTTACTGTAAATAAGAATATATTTATACTCCCAAATGTATGTATATAGTTGTATATTTATATTTATCACTCTACATGCTCTGCATACCTATATTTTATATATATATATATATTGACCATTTCACAAGATGTAAACAACACTGGTCCAGAAGCACTTCCTGTTTCAGTTTTTTAACACTACATAAAAGCTGGGATAAAATACAACCAACAGAACATTTAAAACTGAATCAAAAAGTTAAACAAACATCTTTAAGATGTTTTCTTTACATGTGAAATAAAGAAAACAGTTATAAACTGAAACAGGAAGTGTTTCTGGGCCAGTGTTGTTTACATCTTGTGAAATGGTCTATATATATATATATATATATATATGTAGCTAATATCTCGTTTTCTACAGTGTTTCTGTGCAATATATTTTTAAGCTGTGAACTTTGCACGTAATTTCGTACTATGGAATGACAATAAAATAAATCATAGAGAGAGAGCACTCGATGTATTTAGTTTAAGAGAGTGTGTCTTTGTCTCTCTAAGGCTTTGCCCAGACGGAGAGTCAGTGTAGCTGTAGTTCCCAAGTTCAATCTGCTGAACATCCCGGGGCAGACGCCGGCCATCGCTGGTCTTAACAATGCACCCGGTGCCCTTCCTGTGGTGGTGAGTCCTATCTCAAGCACACTGCCTCGTCAGCAGACACGTGTAATTAATGATGCTTTATCTTTAACATCCTTGCATATTATCGAGGCCAAAGCCATTCGTCAAAATGAGACCTTCAGGGTTTCTTACTTGATTGTGTTCTCCTTTTGTTTAAAGTGTGAGGCAAAGAATGGCAGTTCGTCAGACCCTACACAACAAGATGTGCCTGACAAACCGTAAGTCACGACTTTGCTGTCTCGTTCCCCATAAACCGTGTAGATGATCACGCATTCATCAAGTTATGCTTTGGAACTGTATTGTATTCCTAGACAACCAAGGTAACCTCAGTTTCCTTAAAACAATGGGTCGATTTGAGCCTTCGCGTCAGGAAAATGTTGCATGATTACATGTTGCCCATCTTAAGAAGCTTATTCAACTACACTCTTAAAAATAAAGGTTCCTAAGGGGAGAAGGGAGTTTTTTCAGAGATGCCATAGAAGAACTATTTTGGCTTCTCCACTCCAGAGAACCTTGTGAATAAAAGCCTGTTCATCGCATAAAGCGATCGTGTCTCTTCCGAAAATTTGGACTAATTCTGGGCACACACCAAAAGATAATCGGGCTGATTTTGGGCCAATCCGACAACCCTAGCTATGTCGCGATGTTCTACAGATTATCTTATCTGATTCTCCCTTGGTGTGAGGTGTGTTAAGAGTGTCCGAACCTGCTCGGAAGAACGTCGGAGCCGCCCCGATCGCAATTCATAAATATTCAACATGTTGAATATTTACGATCAGAAATCCTGATGTGTGGGGGGAACCCCGAGGACAAACGCGCACAAACTCTGGAGATTATCATACGAAACGAAACAATATCCAATCAGAAAGCGAGATTATGGAAGATGGAAGTGTTAAAGTGGTAGTTGCGTAGCTGTCAATGGAGGGACAGAACAATCTCCGATTGTAGAAAAAGATCTTCATTTGTGTTCCGATGATAAATCGAAAGTCTTACAGGTTTGGAATGACTTGAGGGTGAGAATTTAGATTTTTGGGTGAACTATCCCTTTAAACGTGGAATACCTAAGATTTTTTGCATTAAAATATCCCAAAATCACAAGGCCAGTGTTAAATATTTAGTAAAGATGATAACTTATAATATTCCAAATGTTTCAAACAATGTTTAAATCGCGAGAAAATTGAGATTGTAACCAAGGAAACGGGGCGTGTGAGCTGGGAGTCACCAGTAAATTGCGTCATATCCGCGTTACCTCGGTTTCCGCTCGTAGTTGCGTGTAGTCCTGGACAAATACGGAAGTTGTAGTTGTTTGTTAGCGTCTATCAAGCAACAAACGTCAGCTTGTTTCGCGCATTTGTTATGGAATGGAGCACAATTATTCTTTAGCGATTGCACCTGGTTCTGTCGACAAAGACAAGTCTCATAAACGCAAACGTCAACGAACGGGTCAACCAAACGACCCAGAGAAATAAAACCAGCTCAACATCGGTGTGGCATTTCCTAAATGGAGAGAACTTTGTGAAAAACTCGAACTAGAAAGAGACGCCGATCTTGCATGTGTTTTACTTGACAGGCGAGTAACACCGTGTTCTGTATTCAAATTTCATGTCAGTAAACGATGCAAAACAGTTAGTATTATTGTTAGAATGTCTTGTTGTCTATGCATATGATGTGAAAAATCGTAAGGTCATGTTCACCGCGAATACTTCTCGGAATGTGAACTGTTGGAAAAGTGTTTCAACCGTCCCGGCTCTCCTCTAACATCTGTGATAATAACTAATTTACTTTTAAACCTTACTTTTCTTGCGGTTATTTCAGTTTAATGAAAAACAAGCATGTCATTAAACGCAACAGTTATAGAAATCGAACTTTACCTCGTCCATGACAACTAATTTTCGATTCCCGTCTGACTGATTTATGCACGGTGGAGTTGAAAACAACCTTTCCCATCATTCCGCGTTCCTCCACGGCGTCATCAAGCAAAGCCGTTGTTGTCATTTTGAATGTAGCGCCCTCTAGCGGCATAAAATCTTAGGTATTGCAGCTTTAAATCAGGGTTTCTCAAACTCGGCCCTGGAGGGCCGATGTCCTGCAGAGTTTAGCTCCAACCCTGATCAAACACACTTCCCTGTGACTTTCTAGTGATCCTGAAGACCTTGATTAGTTTGCTCAGGTGGGTTTGATCAGGGTTGGAGCTAAACTTTGCAGGACAGTGGCCCTCTAGGTCCCAGTTTGAGAAACCCTACTTTAAGTGAATAGTTCTTAAAAGAATCATTTTATGTGAAGGTCTTATTAATCTGAAGAACCTTTTTCTACTATAAAGGACATTTTGTGCAATGGAAAGGTTCTTTATTAGCATCAGTGGTCCCATGAAGAACCTTTAATATCCATAGAAACTTTCCATTCCACAAAAGGTTCTTTATTGTGGAAAATGGTTCTTCAAAGGTTCTCCACACATATGGCGCTTTTCCATTACCAGTACCAGATCGACTCCTGATCTAAATGTCCAACAGCAGTAAATAAGCACACCGAAGACCCCGATTCCCTCACATCCTTCAGTGGCTCTAATTTAAGTGTCACTGTGAACTCTTAAATGTGACGTGCGCGCGCATTGTGTTGTCGATCCTGCAGTAGCGCATGCGCAACACCAGAGGGCGACACACACACACCTGAGAGAGTGACGACAGCGATGAAAACATCACACGTTCCGTGTACGTTTTGATCGTTTTTTTTTTTTAACCACAAAACAAATTAACGAGAAACCACCCTTTTTTCGTTTCAAACCAAAAACAAAGAAACGGTAAAAAAGAGCCGTTCTCCCATTTTTGGTTCTGAATCCGAAAACGAAAAATGACAAAACCAAAATCAAATAATGGCCCGTTCTTTTTTTTTTTTTTTTTTGAAATTCCTTTTTCCATTTTTTCCGTTTGAAGGTCTACATTAAAACGTAGGTTGGCCACGTGACTCGCCTCGACTCGGCTCGCTTTTCGGTCTGTTTTCCATTGCAGACAGTATCACCGCAAATACTACCCAGTCATCATAGCGACGTCTTTCGTTCCTCGTTGCCCCATCAAGCTCTTCCGCAACCAAACAAAGGAAAGTCTGCACCTCCTTGTTTGACCACGGCGTATTCTTCCGAGTTGCCATAATAATAATAGTAGTAAGTTTAGTAACTATCTCTGGCCAAACTATTTAAAAATGGCGGGGTTATTCTGGATATTCCATCTGCCGCGTGCAATGATGAAGCATTGAATGGTGACGATTCTCTCCGACCAATCAGCAGTCGGCATTGTTTTCACGTCACATTTTAGTTTCGCCTCAGCTCGCTCAGAACCTCGCCAGAGGTGATACAACCGAAACCAGGTATAGGTACAACTTTTACACAGTGGAAAATCAAACAAAGGCGAGTCGAGTCGAGTCGATTCAAGTGGAGCTGGAAAAGCTCCAATAGTGAAAGAATTGGTTATTGGTTAGAAGTGGCCACTGAAAGCTTATGTGGAGGACCACATTTGCCGGTTCAATGGCATTGCTTTGAAAACCCTCTTTTAGGAACCTTAATTTTTAAGAGTGGTTCCAAGGAACCACAGATGCCAATAAAGATCCTTTATTTGCATGGCAAATGAAAGATTATAACCCACCCAAGCCAACCTTCTCGTTTTTTTTTCTTCTATGTGCTTAAAATAGCACACAAGAAGTCCCATCTGCAGTCAGTTTTACATCCTATCTTGTGATTAAATCTAAACATTTGGACAGGAACGTTTGACAAAGAGCAGTCATCAGTGTCCGAACATTTTGTTTTAGTAAGAAAAGGCAAAGAGCTTGTCACCGTACCGTCATATCCAAATGCCGGGTTTTAACTCAAAGACAGGAAGACAATAACAATCTGGTAAGATGCGTGCTTCTCTAAACCGAGTGATGTTTAAAGACCTCCCAAAGGACGTTTAAACATTTCATGTCACACCTTTGTCGGAGCTGCAGTGGTGTGTGTGTGTGCCATGTGGCGTTTAAGAATCTCCTTTAGGGCAGAGGTTATTTTTGTTATTACCTGTGGTTATGAACTTGTTGTTCACACACATCTGCGTAATGGCAATATTTTTTTTATTGCTCGATCCCCATCTCTCCTTTCCTATGTGAAACAAAGCAGTGGAAACCCTCTGACGGAGCAGGAAAGTGAAGCAACGCCAACCAAAGTTGTCTGCAGTCCAGAGAAGATTACAGAAGAGATCAAAGCCAAGATTGAAGAAGAAGCGTTTAACAAAGGGTAACACACTTGGTGTCATAATTGTAAAACATTTTCTGGAAACAGTGCCATTTGTATCACTTAAAAAGGGTAAAATTGGGGACCACCATAGTAGGATGCTTCCTCATCAATATTGCTTAGTTGTCGACAAATATGTGGGTTACGCTTTATTTCAATGGTCGAATTTAGACATTCTGCGACCTATAAGTAACTTTGCAACTACATGTCAACTACCTCTCATTAGAGTATTAGAAAAGACTATAGATGTAGAAAGACTGTTCAGACCTATTATTTATGAATAGGAGAAACTGCAACAAAATAAGTCCCCCCTTCTAAGTAAAAGAGCCCATCACTGATTGATAAAGTCATTGCGTCACTTTATAGAAACCTGAGACTCGTGCTTAGGACTGCACATGCGCATTGACTGGTCTAGCCTGAAAATAAATGGGGGGTTTTTAATGCTATTTTAGCATTAGAAACAATGGAAGCACTTTATTTTACAGTCCTGTAATTACAATAACTAGGTATTAACCCTTAACCTACCCCTAAACCTAACCTTAACCCATTTATTTACTTTACATCAACCAGAACTTTTTAAGGTAAGTACACTGTAAAATAAAGTGCAACCGAAACCACCTTTATGGGACAGTTTGTGTCAGATTTCGTTGCTGAATTGAAATATGTTATTTAAATGTGAGTTCGGCAAGCAGTTTTAAAAATAAAATCTCATGAGGTTAGTCGTCAACAAATATGTTTTACCTTAAAAGGGTGATTTTTAAAGCATATCCCTAGTCATAAATGTGTTTGGAATTCAATCAATTGTTGTTTGGTTGGTTGATTGGTTTGTTGGTTGGTGGATGGATGGATGGATGGATTAATGGATGGATGGGTGGTTGGTTGATGGATGGATGGATGGTTGGATGGATGGTGAGTGGATGGATGGATGGATGATTGATTGGTTGTTTGGTTGGTTGGTTTGTTGGTTGGTGGATGGATGGATGGATGGATGGATGGGTGGTTGGTTGATGGATGGATGGATGGTTGGTTGTTTGGTTGGTTTGTTGGTTGGTGGATGGATGGATGGATGGATGGTTGGTTGGATGGACGGTGGTTGGTTGGATGGATGGATTGATGGTTGGTTGGATGGATGGTGGTTGGTTGGATGGATGGATGGATGGATGGTGAGTGGTTGGTTGGATGGATGGATGATTGGTTGTTTGGTTGATTGGTTTGTTGGTTGGTGGATGGATGGATGGATTGTTGGTTGGTTGGATGGACGGTGGTTGGTTGGATGGATGGATGGATGGATGGTGAGTGGTTGGTTGGTTGGTTGGATGGATGGATGGATGGATGGATTGATGGATGGTGAGTGGTTGGTTGGATGGATGGATGGATGGATGGATTGATGGATGGTGAGTGGTTGGTTGGATGGATGGATGATTGATTGGTTGTTTGGTTGGTTTGTTGGTTGGTGGATGGATGCATGGATGAATGGATGGATGGGTGGTTGGTTGATGGATGGATGGATGGTTGGATGGATGGTGAGTGGATGGATGGATGGATGGATGATTGATTGGTTGTTTGGTTGGTTGGTTGGTTTGTTGGTTGGTTGATGGATGGATGGATGGATGGTTGGATGGATGGTGAGTGGATGGATGGATGGATGATTGATTGGTTGTTTGGTTGTTTGGTTGGTTTGTTGGTTGGTGGATGGATGGATGGATGGATGGTTGGTTGGTTGGTTGGTTGGTTGGTTGATGGATGGATGGTGGGTGGATGGTTGGATGGATGGTTGGATGGATGGATGGTTGTTTGGTTGGTTGGTTTGTTGGTTGGTTGATGGATGGATGGATGGATGGTTGTTTGGTTGGTTTGTTGGTTGGTGGATGGATGGATGGATGGGTGGGTGGGTGTTTGGTTGGTGGGTGGGTGGATGGTTGGTTGGTTGGTTGGTTGGTTGGGTGGGTGTATGAATGGACGGATGGTTGGTTAGTGGATGGTTGGTTGGTTGGTTGTTTGGTTGGTGGATGGATGGTTGGTTGGTTGGTTGGTTGGATGGACGGTGGTTGGTTGGATGGATGGATGGATGGATAGATGGTTGGTTGGATGGATGGATGGATGGTGGTTGGTTGGATGGATGGATGGATGGATGGATGGATGGATGGTGAGTGGTTGGTTGGTTGGATGGATGATTGGTTGTTTGGTTGGTTGGATTGTTGGTTGGTGGATGGATGGATGGATGGATGGATGGTTGGTTGGTTGGATGGACGGTGGTTGGTTGGATGGATGGATGGATGGTGAGTGGTTGGTTGGATGGATGGATGGATGGATGGTGAGTGGTTGGTTGGATGGATGGATGGATGATTGATTGGTTGTTTGGTTGGTTTGTTGGTTGGTGGATGGATGCATGGATGAATGGATGGATGGGTGGTTGGTTGATGGATGGATGGATGGTTGGATGGATGGTGAGTGGATGGATGGATGATTGATTGGTTGTTTGGTTGGTTTGTTGGTTGGTTGATGGATGGATGGATGGATGGTTGGTTGTTTGGTTGGTTTGTTGGTTGGTGGATGGATGGATGGATGGATGGATGGGTGTTTGGTTGGTGGGTGGATGGATGGATGGTTGGTTGTTTGGTTGGTTTGTTGGTTGGTGGATGGATGGATGGATGGATGGATGGGTGTTTGGTTGGTGGGTGGATGGATGGTTGGTTGGTTGGTTGGTTGGTTGGTTGGTTGGTTGGTTGGTGGATGGATGGTTGGTTGGTTGGTTGGTTAGTTAGTTAGTTAGTTAGTTAGTTAGTTAGTTAGTTAGTTAGTTAGTTAGTTAGTTAGTTAGTTAGTTTTGTTAAATGTCAAATGCCATGTCAGCATCTAAGGCTATTGTGACATCAATTCAGTTACATATGTAAATACAAATATGATATAAAAAGGTTGTTGTTTTTTTCCATATGAACTATTGAGCTTGATGAGGCAAATATACTGTACACTAGCATTCTGAAGTTTGGGGTTGGTCAGATTTTGTAATTTAAAAAAAAAAAAAGAAGTCTCAGTAACACTTTACAATAAGGTCTACATAGTCCACAAAAGCATCATATTTTGATTTCAATAAACGCTAAATAGCACAGCATACTGCGTAAATAATGCATTGTTTTAAGCTTTGCTAAACATTTTCAAGCTGCTTTACAAATCAAAATAAGTTTCAACTGTACATGAATTTGTCTACTGTATTATAAATGTCTTCACTGTAGATACCAAGAAGGACTGAAGAGATCTAAAGAACTCCAGGAGCTGAACGAGGAGGAAGAGAAAGCAGAAGAGAACCAGGAGTCTGAAGAGGAATCTAGAGGAAATGCGGATAAAGACAGGAAGTCTAATAGGTAACCCTGGCTTCAAAGTGTCTGGCTGTCACATGATTTTCAATAAATCTCTAGTCATGTTGCTTTTGTGCTTTATTTCAGCAGGTTTGAGGAGGCATTAGAGCTCATTGACCGGATATGCCCCAAATTCTTCCGACGGAACCGGGTGCTTTGGATTGTCCTCACTCTGTTCTTCGCTTCATTCGTATTGGTCAATGTCATAAACTTCTTCAGCAGCCGCTACAGTGACAGCGGAGACACGTCTGCGGAGAAGTCCGCCATTCCAGGCAAGAAGAAGTTTTTTGGACTGAATGTAGGGTCGAAGACTCCTGCCCCAGAATGACCTTATTCCCTCTACGAGTCTTTCACACTGCATTTAGTAAATAGCAGAACTACCTGTTATTGTTTAGGGACCAAGTGTGCTTAGATGTGGAATCAGATTTGCATTGATAAGTTATATTACTTGAGGTTGGGAAAGTTATTATGCGACTAATGTCACAGTTGATATATGATTATACCACTCAAACCTTATGATTAAACTTCTCAGGATTTGTGAAATATATATTTGAAATATTACCTACAATATTTAATACAGAATTTGGTACAGTATGTTTTCAATTCTTTGCAATTGTCTATGTTTGTTTATTTGAATTGACATTCCAAGGTAGATCCTGAAGTGCAATATTTTGCAGCTGGTAGTTGACGGTTGTGTGTGTGGGCTTGTGCCTTCGGAGCACTGGTTTTAATAGTACAGAATTTTTTCACAACTTTGAAGAGCACTTTTAAATAGCATGAAAGAATTCATATTTGCACATGTGTGCTTGTGTTTACTGTTGTGCCACTTCACCTTGTAATAAAGGTGTTTGAAAATATTATTTTTCATTGCAGTATTCATTGCTCTAATTTTTTCACAATATAGTAAATAGGGGAATTTTACACACAAAAAAGATTGACCCCATTTCTACAAAGAAAAACAAAATAATTGATAAAAATACATTTTAAAAGAGTAGTTCACTTTTCAAAAAGCGAAAAGAAAAGAAATTATGTTTTTTGATGTAAACATTCCAGCATTTTTCTCCATATAATGGACTTCAGTGGTCCAAATGAGAGTTTCAGTGCAAACTGCAAACTGTTCAAAGGGCTTTAAACGATTCCAGACGATGAATAAGGGTCTTATCAAGCGAAACGATCATTCATTTAATAAATAAATAACAAAGTTTAAGTTTTATAAGCTCAAATGCTCGCCTTGTTCTGTTCTGTGATGCGCGTTCGTGACTCTCCTGTTTAAACTCGTTCATAAAAATGAATGAATCTTTTTTCGAGTCATTTGGTTCGAACGAATTGACTTGATTCGTTCATTCATTCATTCGTTCACTCCTGTGAAGTCATAGCTGGACAGTTTCATGTTCCTGTCACCCTGATGTGCTAAAAAATGTAAATATTAATGGGAATATACTTCAGAGATAAAAATAAATGGTTTGTTTTGAAGAAAAACATTCATTTTATAATGTGATTTGTCCTCTCACTTTCAATTCTTTTATTTCAATGAAAGGTTAGATTTGTGAGATTTTTTGGAATGAAAGGATAAAAGGACAAACAATGCAGATTTATTTGTACAGCCATCTTTGATCATATTTACCTGGGCTGCCAATAATTCTGACCACAACTGTATGCATAAAAAAGTCATAATTATGAGATAAGCCATAATTAAAACATAAAGGCCTGGTTTCACAGACAGGGCTTAAACTATGCATTAGTTCAATAAGGACATTTAAGTAGCTTTTATAAACATGCCATAGGAAAAAAACACATTACTGGTGTGCATCTTGAGACAAAACACTGACATGTCAATAAGTGAAATTTAAATTTTACAGTGCAACAATATTAATGGTCAAAAATGTGTTATTTTATTTGTCCAAAATATTGAAAATTCTTTTGAAGAATTATTTTCTGTTCATACGGGCAAAATATTCTAGTCAGGGAAATTATTTGCTCATTTTTTCCAAGTCACTTCCTTGCAGTGATGATGATGATGTAGGATTGTGTGTGTGTTGGAGAGATGTTTTGCCGGAAGTGGGATAGAGCTGTGTCTGCGTTATATCACAGGAAGTTAGATGGACATCAGCCCGTTAATAAGCAAGCACAAGGGAACGGGAGGAAATTGTCCATTTGAGAGACCAAAGCCGAACAAACAACTCAAGAGGTCACAGAGATCTGAGCACATCATCTCTCTGAACAACAGAGAACATTTGAAAGCCACACACTCTTCTTCACATTGATGAATGTCACACATATTAAGAGTCACTGAAAATATTATAGACTATAAAAGTGTTTTACCATTCAACCTAAAAATATTACTCAACTCTAGTATCTAGGTGACACCAATAAAAACAGCTTATGCAGATAAAGTTTTTTCACAAAGTTACAATACACTTTACAATAAATGTCTCGCACTTTGCCATGATACTACCAATCAAAAGTCAGAGATTTCAAAATGTGCCTATTTCTACCACATAAAAAAACAACTTTGATAAACAATTCTGACACAAAAAGTAAAGAATTATGAGATAACCACTGTCGTAATTATGAGATAATAGTCTAAAATTTTAATAGTCTAAGACTGTCTTAATAAAAAAATTACTTAATTAAAAAAAATAATTGTATCATTTTTATATGTCAGAATAAGGACTTGATGTATTATCATTTTAACGTGTCATAATTACGTATTTTTATCTCATCATTTAAAAAATATCTCATAATTATGGCTATTTAATCTCATAGTTTTGACTGTTTGTCATAATTATATTTTACCAAAGCATGATATATTTTTTCTTGTGTGGAGATTGGCTTCATTGGTGATCAGTTTATCTCATAATTTGGACTTTTATGTCATAATTATGACTTTTATAAAATTATATTTTACCAAAGTATTATTTTATTTCCTTATGGTTTTCATATAAGTTAGTATCTCATCATTATGACTTTTAATGTCATCATTTCAACTCTTTATCTCATAATTATGACTTTTAATGCCATCATTTCAACACTTTATCTCATAATTATGACTTTTTAATCTCATATTTTCGACTTTTTGTCGAAGCATGATATATATTTTTTCTTTTTGGATATTGGCTTCATTGGTGATCAGTTAATCTCTTAATTTGGACTTTTATGTCATAATTATGACTTTTATAAAATTATATTTTAGCAAAGTATATCTCATCATTTTGACTTTTAATGTCATAATTTCAACTCTTTATCTCATAATCATGACTTTTTAATCTCATAGTTTCAAATTTTTGTCATAATTAATTATATTTTACCAACGCATGATATTTTTTCTTGTGTGGAGATTGGCTTCATTGGTGATCAGTTTATCTCATAATTTGGGCTTTTATGTCATAATTATGACTTTTATGAAAATTATATTTTACCAAAGTATTATTTTTATTCCTTATGGTTTTCATGTCATAATTATGAGTAAGTATCTCGTAATTTTGACTTTTAACATCATAATTTCAACTCTTTATCTCATAATTATGACTTTTTAATCTCATTGTTTCGACTTTTTGTCATAATTATGATTCACCAAAGCATGATTTTTTTTCCCTGTGTGGAGATTATGAGAAATTATATATTCTTCATATATATTCTTCAAGTCATAATTTTGACTTCAGCATAATCATGACTTGTTATGACAATTATGATTTACTAAAGCTTGATTTTTTTTTCTTATTCTTTCTTCAGCCATAATTTAGACTTTATAATTGGCATTTACTCTGATCTGTATCTCAGCTAAATTCAGCTTTTTGTAATAATTCTGACTTTTTATTTCTTATGTAGTCAAAATTGGCTTCCATATTGATCAGTTGTCTCAGGGAATTAAGGAAAAACATCTGAGATTTACAGTTGATTTACACTATTTATTTTAACACTCTAAACAATGCTGGGTTATTTTAACCCAAAATTGGGTAAAATATGGAAAAAAAACAAATGTTGGGTTAAAAATATAATTTAAAATTTTAACCCAACTTCAACTTTCACTTTCAACTGTACTTTTTTTTATTACATTTTTAACCCAACATTTGGGTTCGTCCATATTTGACCCAAATTCGGGTTGAAATAACCCAGCATTTTTAGAGTGTATACATTTGAATGCTGCTGGGTTGTTTTAACCCAAATTTGGGTCAAATATGGACAAACCCAAATCTTGGATTTAAAATGTAATTTCAAATTTTAACCCAACTTCAACTTTCATACATTTTTAATTGCATTTTAAGCCACCATTTGGGTTTGTCCAGATTTGACCCAAATATGGGTTGAAACAACCCAGTATTTTTTAGAGTGTTTGGTTAGGATTAGGAATAGGGGCTGGTTTAGGGTTGATTGCATGTAATTATGCACAATTTACTGTTATTACTACATATATAACAACGACACTGTAAAATAAAGTATAACTGAAAGTTGATATTGAAATGCCTGGACCATTATGACTTATGGATTTCCTGCCATAGGTTAAGGATTTGTAGCGTTCTTGCTATGACACAAAGGATGTAAAGGTTTGGTGCTGTGCGTCAGCAGGTCTTCAGTCATCACTGGGTGTTTTCATGGTGAAAACATTCTCGCCTTGGCCTGAAGCAGACTCCTGAAGAGCCCGGTCCCTCATAGATGCCAGCGCACCTCCTGTTTCCTCTTCCCCACTGCGCCGGCTTGGTCATGACACTTTGTACGGGTCATTTATGCAATAACCGCCCCTCTACGCACAGGCCGCTCCCCTGGGGAGTTTAGCCTCCCTATAACCTCTCCGCTTGGCACTCAGGACACATCAGAGATCACACTTTGCTCAGAGACTCACAGTGAGCAGACTTCACCACCATGGCAAGAGTCTGGGTGATGATGATGATGATGAGGACGACACTTTTCAATTGTTTATTCATGTCTTGTCTAACTTTTGACATCCATTTGGTAAAAGGTAAGGACTTTTAATTAAATGTCTATATTGATATGGAATGACTTTATAAATGACTTTGACTCACCTTTAACAGTTTGTAATACACAATGCATTCTATGTCTGTTGGACAGTGCACCCTAAACGAGCCATCTCCGGTGTAGCTGAGTTTTCCTTTGGAAAGGAATACGCCTTAAATGCATCGGCAGCCAGAGATCTTTGCGAGCATCTTGGTTTGACTATTGCAAGCAAGGCACAGGTGACAGAGGCACAGAAACATGGTCTGGAGACATGCAGGTAAAAACAATGGGCCATTATAATTAGAGCCAGACCGATATATCGGCATTTTCCATAATATCGGTATCGGCAGTTATAATGGCCGATAAATGAATATTTAAAAAATAAATTAAAAATGGACGAAACACGCTTCAATCATCTCTCCTTGGCCTGTTCTATTGAAAATGTTTGTTTTACAATTTGCAGTATGATGTTATCTATTGCTAAATTATGGCTCATCATAGACTAGCTAACCACAAAGCTAGCTAATGCCACTATCAACAGTGGAAGACTGCTAACGTTAACATTAATGAGCTTGGAAACCACAATGAACTTTTTCTGCCTAAATAAATTAATGATTACCGTATTTATAACTAGCATATCTCTAGTTACAGTCCCTGCATTGTAAAATGTAAGTTATACTTGCGAGGAGTGAACATTTAGACATAGAGAAAAAGTATCAAACGTATCTTGTGCAGAAAAGTTAGCTTTTCTTTTACACGTGTGTGAAATCCAACAATATTGAATTTTTTTTTTTTTAAATATCGGCCGATATATCGGATTTTAAAACCCAAAAATATTTGTATCGGTATCGGCCTTCAAAATCCTTTATCGGTTGGGTTCTAATTATAATAAACGCATACAATTGTTCATTTAACTCACATTTTTTCTTTTTAAATCTCAGGTTCGGGTGGATAGACGAGCAAATCGTTGTCGTTCCCCGAGTTCAGGTTAAAGCGAACTGTGGCAGTGGCAAGACTGGGATTGTCGTGTGGCGTGCACATCCCAGTAAAGAATTTGATGCGTTTTGCTTCAATTCAACAGGTAAAATATTTGTCTTGACTGTGAATAATTGTTAGATACTGTGGTTACGGATCAATGATTGGCAATCTTTTTTTTTTTTTTAACATTTAAATAACAATCGACACAACATTAGTCAATACATGTGGCTAATTCGTACAAATTGCCGTAAAATCTGGTTGTTTTTTTGGAGATGGCGAGAACTGAGGGATTTGAAACAGATTTATCACTGAGTAGATTAGTAAGGTATTTTATTTAACAATAAATTCCCATATGCAGCTCTCTAACAAAGTTAATTGTAAAGCATTATGTATTGTGAAGGTCAATTTGATTATGGTTGTTGTTGCGCTGTGCTGAAATATATGTTCAAGGAAGCACCGTGTCTATTAATGGGTAGATACAGTAATATCTTCAGCTTGTCAGCTTGAGATCATTTCCATCTAAACTTTTTATATCTCGTAATCCTAGTAGTGAATGTTTTATGAGCAGCAGGAGAACCATATTCATCCGCACAGTCAAGCACATCCAAAACAATGTTCTGCAGCAAAATGCATGGAGTTTTGTTTAACCACTAGAGGGCCAAAAGTTACATAGTATACCTTTAATGAATTTGTTATGCTCTAAATTGGCATGTGTGATAGTAATTTGCATAAAATACGGCCTAATCATCTCCATACAAGGGCTGATCCTTGGCATTCACATCAAGATGGTCAAGTAAAATGCAGTGTGCCATTTTCAAATTAAACCGATTAAAACTAAATTAACAGTTTTATAGGCGATAGGTGTTTCTGACCTTGCATGAGCCCTAATATTATTATTATTATTATTATTATTGCTCAGATTTAATTCTTACTTTTGTGAAGCCACTAGTAGTTATATTTTTAAAACAAGCTTTGTCAAATTTCTAGCTTTTTTTTGCATGCATGTGGTTTCAGTTGGTGCAGTTATATGAATTTTAATGCAAAATAAATGACGAATCATTAAGGTTTATACACATGAATGAGTCCCATTGATTTTAAATTAAGAATAAAAAGCAAATACGTTTTATGTACTCTTTTCAAGTTGTCATTTCACAGAAATATGAAAATGCTAATTCATACTTTTGTATTATTGTTATTTAATTATTCCGTTGCTAACTATGCGTTTAAAAAAATCCTAAGGCCACTGACTATTGAGTACATGTGTTTTCAATCTGTGCTGAGTTTTAGAACAAATTTAGAATGTAAACGTGACGAATCATTAATGTTCATACTCAGATTTTACGTAGAAACATCATGTGCACACGTGTGGTTAGTGAATGAGACCTATTGATTGCAAATGAATACCTGGGTCCAAATTTCTGATGGACATTTTTTTGTATGTACTCTCATCCAAGTTTGTGTGTCATCTGGCATCAAATCAACACAAATTGTTAGTGTGCCAAGTAAATGGGAAATTCTGGATGTGACATCATCACAGATTGGTTTCCTATGAGGGCCGGGGATGTGGTAAAACGGAAGCCAGTGAGTGGGATGAATTGGCAAACGCTTGATCGAGGTGAATGTATCCACTGAGCCATGTCTGTTATGTAACAAGCCTTTTGGTTGCAGATTTCGAGGCACAAAACCAGGCTGCCGCAACCAGAACAACAAGAAAGCCAATCACAACACATTCATCAGTTTTTCCCACCGCTCAATCGGGAGTTCATCTGAGGAAACCCCCATTTTCGAAACAAGCTTCCCCATCGTCTCCATCTTCCTCGGTTCCTTCTTCGCTCTCTCACGGTTCCTCCGTTAACCACATGGATGATGAAGGGAAACATCTGCCCATGAGTGGCACCACAATGGATGGTAAACTGCTGTTTTCAATACGACGGAAGTTATTGTTCAGTTAATGTCGGCATGAAATCAAAATTGACCTTATTTATTTCACTAGCACATTACGAGTCTTGTGGGAAACAATTTATCCATGCAAATTAATGCACCAAAATAAATAAATAAATAAGTACATTTGACACCTGCTTTTCAAGATCCAATCAATTCCCAAAGGAAAAAACAAGCCACGCCCTCTATTTTTCTCATTCAATATTCCGTTTGACTCAGGAAATACAGTCGGTTGCAACTTTTGGTTCACACAGACTTTCAAGTTGACATAAAATGGAAGTTGCAGAAGTCTATTGTTACAATAGTCCTTATCGAGTGAAATAAAAGGGCGGGACTTGATTTTGTCCATCAGGAGATGATTAGATCATTGAGCAGGGCAAATAATTTCGATGAAAGATTATAGATTATTATATCTATATAATTATATGCATTTATAAATCCTAAATAATAAACACATGAAATTTCATTTTAAAAAAATTGTCCATTTTGATTTCATGGTGACTTAAATATGGAAGCTTGTTTCCGCCAAAGACTTTTTTTCTCACGATTGCGAGTTCACATATAAAGTCAGAATTGCGAGATATAAAATCAGAATTGCCTCGTGATATAAAGTCGCAATTGCATGTTATAAAGTCAGAATTGTGAGATATAAAGTCAGAATTGATTGATATAAAATCAGAATTGCGTCGTGATATAAAGTCGCAATTGCGTGTTATAAAGTCAGAATTGCGTGATATAAAATCAGAATTGATTGATATGATAAAGTCAGAAATTTTTTTTTCCCCTTAGAATTGGCCTGATAAGTCGCAATTGCGAGTTTATATCTCACCATTCTGAGAAAAGATGTCAGAATTTCGAGATATAAACTCGCAATTATGTGTTATAAAGTCAGAATTGTGAGATGTCGCAATTCTGTCTTTTTTTCTTGCAATCGCGACTTTATTTCTCAGAATTGCGAGTTTATATCTCGCAATTCTGACTTCATATCTCGCAATTGTTTTATTTTATTTTTTTATTCAGTGGCGGAAATAAGCTTCCATAGTTTAAACCCCAAAGCTGTCTTGTATTTACTGTTATCTCTTCTCTGATTTGCAGATGTTCCAGCAGCCTTACTGATCACAGTCACCTTTGCAGTCATGCTTTCCGTATTTCTAGCACTTTACTATTTCAAAACGTAAGTTCTTCATGTAAACTTTACGTTATGTTCTGAACTTCAGAGCAAATCCCTTGAATTCCACAGCTTATTTTTAATTATTAACTTTTTTCACTCGTTGAACAGTTTAAATCCTGAGAATAAACATGTTTTAATCATACCCAATCACATGAAATGTCCAACCGAGACAGCAACAGTGTCGGCCCAGATCCGGGCCACATCTGGAACCGGATCTGGGCCAAAACTATGTTGCTTTCTGGGTAATAAAAGCTGTGAATTGCACATTTCTACAATGAAATTGGTAACCAAAACGATCCCATAGATCCACCCAGTCTAAGATGGCTGCCGTATGAGTTCTGAATTGTTTCTGCACTACAGGAACACACCCTGCAGGACGCGGGGGGACGGCGAGCAGCAGAAGGAGTACATTGAGACGGAGGTTTGGGAGCACTGTAGTAAGAAAGACCTGCAGACACCACAGGAGGAGCATGTGGAGGAGAACGAGGAAGAAAACAGCAGCAGCGCTTCTACAGACCAACACTGACATTTCTGCCCGTGTATTTATCAGGATGTCATGTGATGTCTGAGACTGAAGTGTCATGATGTTGTTTTGTAATGAAGTACAAAATGGACTCAAAAAATGGACTCAGTTATTCAAAGTGTCACTTTGCTTGAGATATGTATATACACTACAAACATTTGAAATAATTTGAATAATGTCTTTTCTCATCAAGGCTTTATTTAATAAAAAATACTGTAAAAACAACAATGTTGTGGAATATTATTACAATTTAAAATAACTGTTTACTATTGTAATGTCTTTTACAATATAATTTATTCCTGTGATGGAAGGATGAGAACGTGTGTGTGTATATATTATTTTAATGAAAAAAAAGTGAAAACATAAATGAAAGCGCACACAAAATACAGGAGAAATTATTTACTAAATTTGTAGGCATTTATAAAACTTAAACATGAAAAGGAAAAAAGGATATATATTTGTATATTCAATATATATATATGTATTTTTTTCCTTTTCATATATACACGTATATATAACTCACATATATATATATATATATGAATATACAAATATATATATATATATATATATATATATATATATATATATATATATTATAATATATATTTATATTATAAATATAAATATATACATAGTGTCGACCCAGACTCAGCCCGCCCCACACGTGTCCCAGATGTGGCCCGGATCTGGGCCCACACAATGTTGCTGTCTGGGAAATATGCTGGCCTCAGAAAACACACTCAGGCACTGCATCAAATAAAACTAAACAATGTTTCACACATTTAAGATATTCTTAAAAGAAGTTAATTCAAACAATGCATTATGTTTCCCTATTTTTAACATTATTTGCTGTATAAATTAAAAAGGACAACCAACGTTTTTTAACTTTTTTTTTTTTTCCACTTAATGCAGGGTTTCTCAAACTCGATCCTAGAGGGCCACTGTCCTGCAGAGTTTAGCTCCAACCCTGATCAAACACTCCTACCTGTGAAACCCTGACTTAATGGTACAGTATGTAACTTTTGGCCCACTACTGGTTAAAAACAAAACTGCAGGTATTTTGCAGAGGAACATTGTTTTGGTTGTGCTTTGACCGTGACCTGCGTGACCGTGCAGATGAAGGACCTTTTACAATAGTGCTTTACAATTAACTCTGAAAGCTACACTTTATCTGTTCAATATAATAACTTACCTTTTGAGTAACAAAAACACTTTTATGACAGTTCTCAGTTCTCTCCATCTCCAAAAAATAAAATCCAACATTGGTTCTTGTTTGATTCTTGTTTTATTGAGAGATAACGCTCGGTCACGTTCTGTTTTTGTCAGGTGACTTTCCTCTTTTCTGGTTTATTTTAAAATGTGGGTTCCCAGGAGTTTCATTCATTTGCTCCAGAGTAGGGTTGCACCAACCGTTCGTAAGTTCTTTCTTAAATTGTAACGTTAAGTCCACACTAGAGACTTAGTAACTACTAGTAACTACTTTATTCTGTTGCACCATAGAAGTAAGTAGCTAGTAGGTCGTAAACTCTCCATAAAGTTATGCGTAGTCGAATAATATGACATTTAGCCTCGATGAACCGCCTCGTGAGCAGATTTTGTGTCGAATGCCGTGAATTTCAGTTTATCCTTTATTCTAACTTCTTTTGCCTCACCTTACTTACTAACGATAAAAATAAGATCCATTTAATACGATACTTGATCATGAATAACTTAAGTTTTTTTTATAAATATTAAATAACATTCAGAAACTGAATTTGAAATTAAATTAATAAGGATCAACATTGATCCAATAAACAAGAAATTACGTTTATTGATTATGACGGATATTTGACATGCGCAACATGGACTGATGCGCACAGCGGCGCTGTTTAGGACGGGTTCGTGTTAAAGAACTGCTAACGAAGTAATCTTTTCACATAATGTGTAAAATGTAAGCGAGTTTAAATGTCAGCATGATCATGTCTAAAGAATTGAAGTCTGTCAGGTAAAAGAAGAACTTATTGATGCAGTCTGTCTGATATTTTATTCCAACCTTTACTCCCGATCGGAGGCTGCCATAAATATTTAGTTGGAACGTAAAGTTACGTTTAAACTAAGTTTAACCCTTAGAATGGATCCGAAGAATTTAAATACATTTTTTTTTAAATCACAGCTTCCTCGGAATGGTCCGAAATTGTTGGTTGGTATTTGGTATTTGAACACCCAAAAGAATTGGGAACAGGATGTGAATAGTCTTAAGTGGTTGTAAAAAAAAAAAAATAGTCACACTTGGGGTGTTCGGGTCCAAGTGGACCCGCATGGAAAATTAATTGGAAATTGGCAAAAATTAAAAAAAAAAATACTGAGTTTTTTGTGCGTACAATCTACAAATCAGCAACGATCTTGAAAAAAAGCACACAACAGTGAAGGGGTGAATCTATAAAACATCAAGAGTGCAAAACAGACACATCCAGACTCACAAAAACAATTTTATACACAAACACACCAAAAAATTCAGATTATACGTATGTGTTTTGCATTTTTAAAATGCTCAGTTTTTCCACCAGATGGCATCCATCTCATTTCAAAAATTGCTTTTATGAGGCCTAGGCTTGACTCTAAAATGAAATACAGCTTTAAAAAAAAAAAATTAAATATTTTTTCTATTATGTTCAATGGGGGGACATTTTGTCATAATTATTGCATTAATACTAATTATAAAAAAAATATATTATTTATTTATTTATTTATTTATTATTTTTCTCAAAACACCCAAAAAAGAAAAAAAATATGATAAAAAAACGAGTAAAAAATCATGATTTTTTTTTTTTTTTAATATGAACCCCGCCCTTTGGGTCCATTTGGACCCGAACACCCCGAGTGTGACTCTGAAACTTAACGAACAACCCCAGAGGGTTAATGGTGCAACATAAAAATATTTAGTAGTGCGTAAGTTGTAACTTTGTGCCCATTTACGTCAAAACTAGGCTAAGTTGTAACTTGTGCACAGCTGGTGCAACCGGCCCCAGATGAATATCGTTGGTGTTACAAGGCTTGAAATTATTAAAAGTATAGCACATCAATTTACTTATTCCCGCAGATTTTCTGCTCACACTCAAAGTGCGCACACATAAAGCCGCCTCACAATACTAAAACAAGTTATTTTTCGTTGCTTATTGCGCTTAATACTAAATCAAGTTATTTTTCGAAGTTTATTGCGCTTAAACAGTCAAATACACCAAATAATGTCAACTTGGTGAGTATTCATATAAACATAGTCAGTTATGTTTTAAGTGAACGTAAACAGTTGAGAAAGAAAAAGCATGTGCAAAAGTATAATGGATCAGTGTGTCAGGTCTTAAAGTGACAGCAGCCTAATATTCCTATAATATTACAAATATCTATATGGCAGTTTTCCCCCCATGGTATCGATGTCAAAATTGTAGAGTGGCTAGTAACTTAATTTTTAACAAAAAAAAAAGCTTCATAGTGTACCTTTAATTACATTTTTTATTACTGTAAGGACAGTGGAGAATTTATGGGAAATGGATTGGAGTTAGGCACGAGATGGGAAAGATGTGCGTGAGTTTGTGTAGGATAATGTTTGGTTCAGCAGAGCAGGGGTGGGATATTCCAGACAATTTTGATTGCCACAGAAGCATCTCAGTGTCTGCTATTTCCAATTGCACATGTACATGTATAGAGGATATAGTTCACAAATCTCCACAGGGGGGAGACACTGCCCATGTAATGTAATGTCAAGTATGCCAAACCCCCTTTGAAACGCCCATTCGAGCCATTGCATAGGCAGACAGCGGTGTTTACAAGAAGGCTGGGTATTAGAAATATGAGAAGCAGAGCAAGACTAAATAATAAACATTACAATTTGGATTCCTGTGCATCCATTCCTACAGTATATAAAAATAGCAACCATGCATGTACAGTATGTGGGCACAGAGGGCTTAGCATTGGACAGCTACTGTGACCCAACGACCTCTGACTTTACTGCGTCTACCAGGAAGCTGAGTTCATTACACATCGTCTCGTGTCTGTAGGCCATGCGGATCTGGGCTACATTTGTCCGCCGGATGTCATTCCCCTCTGGCCCGTCCTTTAGGTAATTGACCCCAAGGAAGTACTTTTTCTCCTGAGGAAAATGGCAAAGGGCTTCAGTGTTGTGCTGAAGCAGTATTTCTATACAGTAAATGTTATGAATTGAGTATTACGCACTACCTCATGGGAAAGGCCACTCTGCACGACACTGTTCCTAGCGATCTCACACACGTCACATGTGCTCAACTTCCACAGTTGGGCTGCAATAGCATACTCCTCCATTAAAGCCTCCTGCAGGACACACATAATAAAACAATTACAAAGTAGTAGATTTAAAAAAGTATGTAATTCCAGCACAATTTCTCAAAGACGCAGACTTGTGTAGGCTGTAACTTAAAAACGTCAATTAATGCAAATAAAATGAAATAAAAAGTACATTTGATTTCTCTAAAAACTATAAATATATCATTTTTCTTTACATATTATAAATACATCTAAAATTAGAAATGCATTTTATTTAATTATTTACATTAACTGCATTAATTAATAAATTCACATTTTGAGGTTCAATCCTGGGGTACATCAGGCCGTGTGTGTCCACCAAAGCGCTTTTTTCACGCGCCTGGCGCATGTCTTCAATTGTTTTCAATGAGAGCGCCGCGTTTTTTAAACGCCATGAGCGTAACGAGGCGCTGAGCGTTTTTTTTTTTTCATGCTGAAGCGCCGAGCGCCCCACGTTTTTTTATCATAGTATCATAGCATCGAAACGTCTCAATTAGGGCTGTCAAACGATTAATAAAAGTAAAAAATAAAAGTTTGTGTTTACATTATATATGTGGGTGCACTGTATAATTATTTTGTGTGTGTATTTATATATATATAGATATATAAATACACACACATGCATGTATATATTTAAGAAAAAAATATTATTTAAATATAAAATATTTATATATAATGTAAATTATGTATAAATCTATATACAATATATACATGAAAATATTTCTTAAATATATACAAGCATTTGTGTGTATTTATATATATAAAATAATTATAAACACTACACACACACATATATTAATGTGAACACAAACTTTTATTTTGGATGTTTGATAGCTCTGGTCTCAACGGAAAAAAAAACGCTGCATTTTTTCCCCTGAGACGTTTCGTTGCTATGATACAGAATATCCGCAGCACAGTTTACTTGTAACTGATTTCGTAGATAATTTGTTTCATACTCAATTTATTTTTCATCGATTTTGTTCGGTTAGCTCTGCTGGTTGATGTCGTTGTACAGAAAGAATGTTGTGACAGTTGGTCGGTGTGGTATTAGCCCCGCCCCTCCTCCACTGTGATTGGATGGCTGTGTAAAAAGTCACAGTGATGAGCGCAGCGTTTTATTTTCGATATATTTCTCTCAATCCCCAATGACTACCATATGGAAGTCAATGGGGATTGAGATCTGTTTGATTAAAACATTCTTCCAAATATCTTCCTTTGTGTTCAGCAGAACAAATAAACACATAGAGGTTTGGAACAACTTGAGGGTGAGTAAATGATGAAAGAATTTTCATTTTTGGGTGAACTATCCCTTTAAGGCTCTTCATGTAACTGGCAATGCCAATAAAGGAACCTTTTTATATTAAAGAGTGTATAAGATGGTTGTAGTTTGACCTTGGTGTAGTGGAACTGCAAGGGGTCATCAGTGGAGAGGGACACACACAGGCCTTTGTGTAGGAACTCTCGCAGTGGGTTCTTGGAGTATTCCAGGAACAGACTGTTGTTACTCAGAGGGGACATGGCAATGGGCACTTGGGCAAGATAATACAGGTACTGCAGCACAGGACTCTGGAAACACATATGCATGTTACATGAGAACATCAAATGCTCTGATCAGGCTCTTAGATCCGCCTGCTCTCATTTGCATGTTTTTGTACAGCAGCAGAGGCTCCATTGATTCTGGGCTCAACATGTCACATCTGCATTTGCTTTATTAACAGACTTTTTTCTCTTCTAAATTAAAGTACAAAATATTTGCTAGTTTGACTAATAAGCTCTCACAATTAATAGTCATCATTCATCTTGTCAGAATGACTGCATTAGACTTTGCATAATAGAGTGCCGAAGTTATGACGTCACTCTGTTGGCCAAAACGCGGAAGTGAGTTAGCATTTTAGCACTAGCATTTTAGTTTTTTTGAATCGCCTGAAATAAGGTCTGTGGCGAACAAAGCCTCTAAATATTTTCACGTTTTGATCTATGACATACAACAAGTTATAACCTGCTTGTGGTTTCTTAAACTTTATTGTGTCTGCTTGTGTTTTTTAAAAAACTTTATATAGGCTTCAAAATGTATACATTTTGGATTAACTTGATAGACAAAACGTGTAAGGATCAGAACTCTTTGTTAAACAGAGATCTTATTTTTTTCCGATTTTTTTTCAAAAGTCTATGGGGAAAATGCATTGCTTTTCGATCGAGGGAACCCATGCGCCGCTAGCTTCCGAGTTGTCCTACAAAGTGACGTCATCACTTCGGCACTCTATTCCCCTCATTTTAAAGAGCTGTTGAGCACTGTAGTTTGGACTAATCTTCAACTTCTAACCTTTTTCAGGTTTAAGCCATGAGAGATGTTGTCCGCGGTGAGGAAAGCTGAAACCAGGTGGGTGATAGAACCAGCTTCTCCACAGTGTGGACGGAACTGAAAGGTACTAAGACCACGTTCCCTGTGAAAACACACACACATATCCAAGTTGAAAAAGTTGTGGAAAAAACTTCATAAGTTGAAAAAAATTATAGGCTCACTTGTTGCAAATAGAATGCCAAAATAAGAAATTATAGAGCAAATTTGAGAAATAAAGTTGCAATACATACTTACCGGCCACTTTGTGAACACACAAAAAAATTGAGTTCATGATCCGAGCATGCTAAGTGGTCGTAAAAAAAATTAGTCACGATTTTGGTCTTTAGTCAAAAATGACGCCCATAGGAAATGAATGAGAAATTGACAAAAACACAAAAATTCATAATTTTTTTTTTAACAAATTTTTTAATGAGAAATACTTTTTGAGATTGTTGAGATTGTTTCAATTGTATATTCAAATCCCCCCCCCCCCACACGCTTTTTCTCTATACTGTAACCAGATGGTGCTAATTTTCTTAAAAAATATTTTTTTCTGAAGGCCTAGACTCTATATTAAACAAAAATACTGTATTAATATTTAAAAAAAAAAAATATATATATATATATATATATATATATATATAGAGAGAGAGAGAGAGAGAGAGAGAAAAATATATATATTTCCATTGAAAAAATAGACCATAAATATTGCATAAATATTAACAAATTCAATCAAATTGTCTCAAAATACTAAATTAAAAAGAATAAATATTATAGAACAAAAATAAATTGCATTGGTTTTACTGGGATGGAAGAAGTTTCATTTTTAGGCCTCCGGTCACTTCTGACCGGGAAGGCCCAGGACGTGACTCATAAAGAAAGACCATCAGAGGGTTAAGTAATTAGTGTTAGTGACAGTAAGATAACAGCTAATATTTGTGGTTCTGGTCCCCCATGCACAGGTCACTGGTGAAACCAGCATAGAAATACTCATAATTCTTCTCAGCCAAAGATCCAGAATTGTGTTAGACACAATAGCTTGCATAGTATGTAATTAGTCAGTGACACTAATTATATACTGTATAAAAATGATATCGTTGTCTATTGTCCCTCTCCATCACTGAAATAGGCCTGCCCCATATCAGAACTTTTCATTCCTTTTAAACACACGGTGTTGAAATCCCAGTGCTCCGTATGTGCATCCCTGCTCACTTTTTAAAGGAATTCACTGCAATACAAGGGCAGGAAACGTCAACACCTACCGACCTCCTACCTCCAGTTATTTCAAGATCTTTATACTTCCTTTGATTTAATTTGTCAGGTTGATATAGTTAAGATGACATTTTTTTCAACATGAAGCCAGTTATTTTGGTTGTAACCACATAGAGAATATTATTTAGACTATCTGTAAAAAAAAGCATTTACTGTTTCCCGCGATTGTATTTCCTGTGTACAAACATTTATACCTCTTCAATGCATTCAGAGGCCCTAGGTTTTGGACCCAGTCCACAATCCATCCTTTATAAAGTGCAAAGATGATGTCAATTCTGTTCTACTGACTACTTAACAGTATCTCGGTTTTAACCCAATATGTGTGTATTACTGATACAGTGGTATTTATAGTTGTCATGCTATTGGAAACTGTTTGTTCTCCAATGCCTTCCAGTACTTATTCAAGGTTTCTCAAAGCCTGAGGGTATAATAGAAAATCTTGCAAATATTAAAGAGACATTTTTCCTATTGGTATGGGATATGCATGGAGTTTTCCAGTTGGTGTGTGGAACAGATATAATGGAGCACATACTTCCTGAGGTTGTTGAGGACCATGATGTTGGCATACATGTGGAAGAGGTAGTAGCTATAGGGTGGGTTGTCATCTGTTGTCCATTGCTCAGGTTTGGGGCTCTTATAAGAGAACATGTGATCGCTATGCTTGGATTCATCATCCACACTGTCAAAGCCAGTCACCTGAGGAAAAAAAGGGACGTCCAGTGTGTGATAAAGTCTTGCAAAATGATTTATTTGAAGTGCACTCTAAGTTCTTACTAAGGATCCACCGATATGAACATTTTGGCCGATACCGATAACCGATAATTCTTTGTATTTGAAAGCCGATAACCGATATATCGGCCGATAAATCTAAATCCAATTTTTTTAAATAATTTTTGAGAGCCTGATTGCAAAAACAAAAGTCTCAAAATTATATTAAATTAAATTTAATATATAATTAAAATCCATTTCCCAGTCTCACAATTATAATGTTCTCATTCTAATTTCATGAAGCCGATATGGCAGGACATTTTGCACTTGCACTTTATAGGAAACTATATTTTCCTTTTTGATTCCGATCATATTTCAACCAATTAAGATAAATCCTGTTGAACAGTGTGCATCTTAAGTGTCAAGTGTTGAAGGAAATGATTCATTATATATCAGCTTTAATATATCAGCCAAATTTTATTATCGGGCCGATAACGATAACATAAAAATGAACAAATATCGGCCGATACCGATATGGTGGCCGATATATCGTGCATCACTAGTTCTTACATTGGATTACCTACGTATTATCATGATATAATCAAACTTCTTTTTATCTCAAATACTTTATATGGATAGAAGCTTGCACTCCTCTGAGAAGGTTTCCACTAGATGTTGGAAAATGGATGCGGGGGGGATTTGCTCCCATTCAGACACAAGAGCATTAGTGAGGTCAGGCATTGGTCAGAGGTCATACGTTGGCTGATGGGGCCTGACTCGTGGTTGTCATTTTAATTAATCCTTGAAAATATGTTGAGTGGGGTTCATATCTGGGTCACATTTTTCATGCTGGAGCAGAAAATATCCTCCCTAAACTAGATTTTGAAAGCACACGAAATTTCACTGGAAGTTCACTGGAATTACTGTTTTATTCAAACCACGTCTTGGCCATGTGATATTTAAAACAGTTACATCAAGTACATTGATTCAATTTATCTAATATGAACCTTGAACTTACATATTTTAGAAATACGTGGAGCTCTTTGTGCTTCTGAGGATTCACTGTAGCCTCAAATAGAGGAAGGAAAATGTTCTCAAGCATCTTGGCAAAATTAGGAATCAACTTGCGTGACTTGAAAATGTCACTAGAAGAAATAAACATCACATAATTATAAAACAAGATGTACCATTTTTGGAAAATACTGAATATGTTAAGAATGAATGTAGCTACTTACTATATTCTGGGCACCTGAATGATCCAGCGCATGTTTGGAGAGTACACTTTGTGCTGAATAAACCAATGGGAGAGACTTTCCCATTCCTCTGGGGAACGACCATAGATGGACAGTCGTGGTTCGGCATGCTGGTACTTGCTCTCCTCCAGATCATGTGCCACTTCCTAAAAGAGACAAAAAGACAAATTCATGCTAAATTTATACTGCGCTTAGTGCATGACATGTAATGATGTGCATTTCTGCATTTAGCACATGCTTTTATCCAAAGGGTGGAACAAATCAATGTGTCAAGGAGCCACTACTATACAAGTTAGTTTGTTTTTTCTTAAAGAGCCCCTATCATAGCATTTGAAATGTTCCTATTTTTGTTTTAGGAGTTCCCAAAAACAGTTTAACAAGCATGCAAGGATAAAAAAAACACTTTATTTGTCTTATAATATGCATTTATTTTTAACTGATTTGCTCACCGACTTCCAAATGATTCGTACAACGACTCATTTTTCCAAACCACTCCTTTGCGTGACGCTAATCGGCGGTGATTGGTCAGACGACAGACCCAGTCTGTTTGTTAGCATAACGCATAAACATATTGATAAAGCACTGCAGTGCTACAAGACGATCTATTCTTTATGACAACTCCAATAACAGCGACAAACATTTCACATATTTAAAAAAAAAATTGACATTGGAGACCTAGAATCTGCGCTGAGCGTAACTTACACACACACATACTTATCGCGCCTTCCCTCCTCGCGCCCGACGCTACAAAACCGTTCAAAACCCATAAAAGCAACAATTATTAATAATACTTACAGGTTGTGATTCGAAGGAGGAAGCTGATCCATATACACTGGGTAAGTTCGTTACTGAGCCCTCCTTCAGGAACAACCGCTTGCGAATCCACATTTGAATTCATTTATGTTTTTGAACGATTCGTAATTAAAATGATGAGAACACAATCGGGCTATACTGTTGTGGTATCGTTGCAAATATGAACTCTAACCACCGATTCTTCACATGCTCGTCCCTGATAAATGAAAACAAAGTGGCTGAACTATCTTTGTATTGTAGAACACAGCGTCTTCTCGACATGATGAAGTATTTGAACGTGTAGACTTCAAGTTTACACGCAGTAACTGGGCGCAGCCAATACAGTACGTCTCTACGTCACGACGACGAACCAGCTAATGACTCGTTTCAAAAACAATTCATTTCATAGACTCCGAGTCGACTCTCACTTTTGAAAGACAATAACTTTATATACGGTGCACTTTCAGATATAAATCTTTGCAGGATGTTTTCATTCCCTTAGAGCTATATTCCACACCATATGAACAGTCATTTTCAAAAATCCATGATAGGGGCTCTTTAATTTCCCTCAACAGGTCCATCCACTACACTCTTAGAAGAAATGGTTCTATTTAGAACCAGAAATGGTTCCATCCCCCGCTTCATATTTGGAACTCCAAAATGGTTCTATATAGAACCAATTTTTTGGTAAAAGGTTCTATTGGCCAAGGTTACTATATAGAACCCAGAGGAACCTTTTTTTAAGAGTGTATAGAATTTCAAATACGTAGCGCTGATAGAACCTTTTAAGGTTCTATATAGGACCTTTTCTTCTAAGAGTGTATACTGAGATACTTGGTGCTTGTGTATAGTTTGACTGGTTTTTTATGACAAAATGACTATACCTTGATTAAGCGGGCAAAATACTCTCCTTCGATGTAATTGTCAGTCTTCAAGTAGATTTCCCTTAGCTCACTTGCTCCTACTGGATTGTACTTGGAGTTGAATTTGTCAAAGCGGTGAAAGGTTTGTCTGCCCTGTGAATACACCAAACATGATGCACACTGTACAAGCAACTAGCATATCCTCGGGCTGTAAACATAGATAAGACGTTACTTACGGCATGGACATCTAAGGAGTCTACAGTAAGATCATACGGGTCCATGTTCAGGTTGTTAAACACCTGTTTGAGAGTTAGTTTAAGCCCTGCCTTCTCCAGGACGACTCTCTCTGCATCAGTTTTATTGGTGGTTTGGATGAAATCAAGCAGGTGTTTCTGGCTCATACATGCCGCTGCATGAATATGTGTGTCTACCTGTAAGAAAGCACGTGTGTACATTTAGACCGCAGTGGATATCACGTTTACATAAACCAATGAGTGTTTCAAATGATACCTTTCTGACATTGTAGAAATCCCTATGAGGAACACCCTTGAGTTCTTTTAGCTCCGCCATTTCGTTGAGCATTTCATGTAGGTAAAACTTTGACCCAAGGAAGTTTAGTCGTCTATGGCAGTATGTCTTCCTGTTTAAAGAAGAAACATGTTCAGCTTTACATCTTGGAGACTTGATGACCGCTGTGGTAATATTGGATGGAGACTTACGTAGGCCCATCAATGATCATGGCGAGCACATGACTCATGTCAATGGCAAATGTTTCCAGGTCTGGATAAGGCAAACAGCGTGGTTTGTTCATGCTCATGGCTTCATTGTTTTCATATACATAAATAATGCCATCCTTCATCTTCATCTGATAATTGAGGTTCTCTGGAATATTCTCCAAGCTGTAAGGGTCCTCTCCCTCACCAGGGCAGGGACAGATATCTGTGGAGAGCAGAAGGTTTCACTAAAACAAAAAAAGAAAGAAAGGCTACAGTAGGTAGACTTAGCTGGTGAAGCTGGTTGACTAGGAAAGTCTTGCTGGTTAAGTTAGAAAGAAGACATCAGTAGACCCAATACAGTTTTCCCCTTCAGAATCGGTCCCATTCTAGTGCTTATTTTCCTTAGTTGTTCTTATTTGAGCTACACATAACTCATGCCAACTCTTACGTCTTCTAAAATTAGTTCAACGTTGATGTCTTGGGAAGGGACATAAAGAGGAACATCAAGCAAACATTTGTAATCGTTTACCGAGCCATAAATAAACCTAGAATGAGAACATGGTCTCCATCCAAGTCACATCTGGTTATGAACCCTCTGCAAAAGTAGATGTACCTGGAAGAGTTTCATCATCTTCTGTCCACCTTTCATTTGCTGCAATACGTAGGAACTGTGTAGTGGTCCGTGGGAACCGGTGATATGCCAGTTTTGAGTATTTCTCTCGAATAAAGAGAGCTTTTAGCAGACTTTTAGCTGCTTGCTCATAATCCTCAACTGTAATCTGAAAGTGCACAGTGATTGTGAAACAAAACATGATCAGCTGTTAAAAGAGCCTTTATTTGAACTTTCAACAAATTATGATAGAATGTAGAAAAAGGTGGTTGGTTGTTCGTTCTACGAATACACACCCCAGCACAGTAGTCCCCGCTAATGATGACTCTTTGGTACTCCGGCAAATTTTGTGAGATTGAGGAGCAGGTCGAGGAAGGGGAAATTAGGGGGGTCGCCACACCCCGGACACTCTCCGTACTTAATGGGACTTGCAGTGACATAGATTGAGATCGAATAATCTTAAAACTCTTCTTCCTACAGAGGATTAAAGCGAATGGGGGCTAAAAATTAAATTGGTAATTCACTAGGCACATGAATCATTAATTGGCCAGCTGGAAAATCCAATGAAATCTTGCTTCTGATGGTAGCTGGTTTGTTTTCAAGATGGTCCAAGGTGGTCATTAAAGGATAATTCCGGTATTTAACACCTTGAGTCTATTTTGTAGTTTGTTTTGAATGAAATAGAGTGGTGGACTTAGAAATTTTGACAATGGGTCCTGTTTCGAGTTTTTGACTTTTTTAAAATCGCCTGTGACAGCGTTAGACTGGGTGTCTATGGGCATGCACAAACATGTCCTTAAAACAACACTTAACGTTCATTTTCAAAACTGTGCAACTCACCGAGTGGTTGGTGGTGTTCGTTGATGATTAAAAACAAATATATCGGCGCTATGTATGCTTTCAATCCGTGTTGTTTGCTATTGTGGAACTATTTATTCAGACACCTCACAACCGCGTATAAACTTCCGCTCGATATTTGAGTCTGAAGCGTTAGCACACTCCCGACCACTTGATGGCGACTACCAGGACGCTGTATGGAAAAAAAGTTCGGGAGCACAGTTGCTCTGCTCACGCTAGCCTTCTGAGAGACGGAGAACCGAGTGAAAAGACTACAAACAAATGTAAACAGACCCCTTTCCGTTCCCGGTAGCTAGCGCAGTAATATCAACGAGCACTGAGTCCTCCAGCAGACATCAATGCGATTTTAAAAAATGACAAATAAAACACGCCAGAAACGGTATTTCGCTACGCTACTTGTTTCAGAACATCAACGAACACCACCAACCACTCGGTGAGTTGCACAGTTTTGAAAATGAACGTTAAGGGTTGTTTTAAGGACATGTTTGTGCATGCCCATAGACACCCTGTCTAACGCTGTCACAGGCGATTCTAAAAAAGTCAAAAAGTCGAGACAGGACCCAATGTCAAAATTTCTAAGTCCACCACTCTATTTCCAACATGACATCATGACTTTTGCGTAAACATACACGCCACTTTCGAGTCAGGTGGAGTTTTATCTCTACGCATTTTGAGCTATCCGCGTGTATGCGTGTATGTCTACGCCATTAACGTCCGCGTCATTGTGCGTGTCTGTACACGCAGTCAAATCTCCAGTCATAAATGCCATTAACCCCAGTGACGGTTAGGTTTAGGGACGGGGTTGAGGTAAGTCATATATTTATATAACGTTAAGTCAACGGCGTTCATAAACACGCTGAAAGGCGATTATGTGTCTTGATAGCACACCAAAAATGAAAATACGAATTGGCGTGGCATACACACGCTACTTCATGAGATCAGTCTGCTATTTCATTCAAAACAAACGACAAAATAGACACAAGGTGTTAAATATCGGAATTATCCTTTAAGGTCATTAACTGGCACAAGTGGTTTCCAATCATGGAGGACTACTGTCCTGCACAGTTTAGCTCTAACCCTAATTAAACAGCTACTAAAAGGTCTTCAGGATCACTAGAAATGTCCATGCAGGTATTCTTTGACAGGATGGAGCAACATTCTGCAGGACCTTAGGATTGGACACCCTGGGTCTACATGGTTGACTTGTTGGTGGACTTGGTTTCAACCAGACCATATTGGTTATGCTGGTACCAAACTTGAACAGCAGCAAACCAGCTACCATGATCAAAAGACCAACTTGTCCTCCATTAACTGGTTTGGCCAGGTGTTTCAAACCAGATGATGCAACTGGTAGCAGTCTACAGTGAAAAACAAAATGATGCTGACCGTTTGGAGCTTTCTTCTGACTGTTGCTCAGCCAGTTCTCTGAGTAGCTCCCTCTGTCTGGCTTCCTGCAGGCCAATGGGACAGTCCTCAGGGACAGTGTACATGGAAAGGACATCTTTAGTGTCCTCTTCCTTTATTGCCGAGGCATACACCTTCTCTGCCAGTAGACGAACTTCCTCATCCACATCACTCAGGGCGATCTTCGGAAACTGCCGCGGCATATCTGTAAAGAAGCATGTTTTAACACACCTGCTGGATATTTGAGGCGTGGTTTACGAATGCCCAGAGCCGTATTATTGGGTGCTATGAATGTCTAACAAATGCGCCTGTGCTCCCTCCCCGTTCTGTGATTGGTTCCCTATTTCAGGGGAAAATTTGGTTTTGGTGTCCAGACTGCCTAGTAGCGCGCTGTGGCAAGGCAGCATGGGGAAACCCAGGCTAGCGATCCCATAAGTGTGTCCCATTTTTAAGTCATATTGAAATCAAAGAAGTGTTTAGTGTTCAAGAGTGCTGTACTAGTCCGTCAGTTGCTGTCACTGCTAAAACAACAGTGTTAGTTTGATGAATGTTTCATGGCTCATGTCAACACGCTTGCTGTAAATAGTCCTGAGATGCCAGGCCGTATATTTAGGCCAGCAAAGTCAGTCACTAGGCCAGTGCACAGCTGCAGACAGTTATGCTTGTGTAAGGACAGATCAAGTGTCCGAGCCTTGGCTTTGACTTCTCCCTGAACAGTTAATAACATCGTCCCCAGTGGTCACATCAAATGCTATCCAGGGCAAAAAACAGATCCCTTTGTCATGGTTTCCATTCTTCATGGTCGTTCCAGGACACTCCCATACCAAGTAGAATGTGTCCTTGTCATACTGACTGTTGTACCAGCTGTGTAACCAAAGACATCTGAGAACAAGCTAGAGCATATCTGGCATGAAACTGGAGCATATTCTACTTAGATCTATTGATGATCACAATCACTCTCCCTGATCGCAAGCTTCAATATTTCCTCCATTACACAAGCCTGGTTACCGTTACAGTTTTAAAAATAAAATAAAAAACTGCAGCATTTCCATTAACCGATGGTATGCGACTAAAACATAATTTTTCCCAACATGACATCATGACTTTTGCGTAAACATACACGCCACTTTCGAGTCAAGTTGCGTGTTCTCTACGCATTTTGAGCTATCCGCGTGCATCCACGTGTATGCATGTATGTCTACGCCATTAACGTCCGAGTGATTCCGCGTGTCTGTACACGCCGTCAAATGTCTGCGCGAAACGAAGCAAAATGTACATCTACATCTGGGGAGCGATCTTTTTTTTCCCTAGGATGGTGAGGGAACAGTCATAAATGCCATTAACCCCAGTGACGGTTAGGTTTATGGACGGGGTTGAGGTAAGTCATATATTTATATATACTACAGTAATAACAATAAGTCAACAGCGTTCATAAACACGCTGAAAAGCGATTATGCGTCTTGATAGCACACCAAAATGGAAATATGAATTGGCGTGTCATACACACGCTACTTCATGAGATCAGTCTGTTTTTCCTCTCGCTATTCCAAAAATCATGGCGACGGATGTTGGTAGGTTTACGCATATTGCACTAGCCATCATTTTCAATCGAAGGAGACGTACACGTGTTATCCAGGCATTAATAAATGATAAATTGTGGCATTTCTTTGTCATTTAGAATCCAGTATTACCGTAATTCTTTTGTCATTTATGATTAACTTTCATCTTGTGTCCAAACATACTGCGCCATCTTTTTGCGATATATGGGGGTGTTTGCCTTCATTGGGCATATTCTCAATTCGTAATTTTAATTCCCGCAATTTGGAGGGCAATGAAAATACAGCTATTGAAATCAAATTCTGTCAAAAAAAAAAAAAGCTGACTAAGGGCCGGTTCACATATAGCGCCTAAAAACGTGTAGAAAACGCTGGGCGTAGAAAACGGTTGCGCTTCAGTTGGTTCTTGTCACATGAGCTCTTGTGTGCGTATCGTGCGGTATTCGGAAAAGTTGAGATGTTTTTATCTCGACGCGGCGCGGACGCGCATGGAAAAAACGAGTTCGTCGCACCGCGACCGCATAGCTTTCATTATGAGCGCGCATACCGTGCGCCTACATTTGAAATAACGAACTTGAGCGCGCAAAAGATGCAATATGTGAACCGGCCTTAAAGGCATTCTTTAGATGCTCTTAATTAGAGCCAGACCGATATATCGGCAGGCCGATATTAGGCATTTCCCAAACTATCGGTATCAGCACAGCAGTTATAATGGCCGATAAATGAATATTTCAAAAATAAAATAAAAACGGACGAAACACGCTTGAACCATGTCATGAGTGTTGGAGTTGTATAGTTTGTCCACCAGAGGGCACTCAACACCGCTCCTGTTGGCAACACTCGTTGTGTTGGTCACGATACATACATTGCTTGAATAACAATTAAAAGAACATCCCCATCAGTTCTCTTAACTCAAATAAGCATGACAAAATTTGTGACGATCATGTCCAGTTTCAAATAAATAAATAAATAAATGAAATAAAATATCGGCCGATATATCGGAATATCGGATTTTAAAACCTAAAAATATTTGTATCGGTATCGGCCTTCAAAATCCTTTATCGGTCAGGCTCTACTCTCAGTTTGGTTTTTATAGACTATTGCATCCGTTTTAAATGCTGTGAGAATGACAAGGAGGTTCTACCCTGCCACTGTACCAAGAAGACTTGCCAGAAAATAGTTACTGGTTCTGGAAACCTGACATGCACAGCTGTGCGACTGCTGCCATTCTTACCTTCAACCCCCGTCAGCGCCATCTCGGCTTCGGCTGTTCTTAGCGGGTGCGCTTCAAAATGAGTTACTTGGTATATGTTTGGGTGTGCATGTGTGTGGTGTGAGCCATGTCCAGTGGCACTCTGAGAAACTGCTGTCGTCTAACTGCCGTTTTGTTTTCTTGAGTATCTCTCTCCCTCTCTCTATTTTAAGAGGTAGAAAGCCTCACGTCCACAGAGCTACTAATCCTTTGAATATGTCACCACCGCCTGTCAACAAAAAGCGACCCTGGATCCAACGGAAAACCGCTTACCAACACTCCCAACCCATCTCATGCGTACACACAAACCTGGCTTTCCCATAAATATAATATCCAGCCCCACAAAACCCAGGGCTGATCTCCAAAACCCAACTGTCCACGTGAACGAAGTCTGTGGCCAAAAGAGCATCTGCTTTGACAGCTTCAGCCATCCCTCACCCCCCGAGAACAGCGTTTAATCCAAGCTCTGACCTTGCTTTAGTTTATGCACGTATCATTTGAGCCCCAGATAAACAGTCCTGCTGGCCATTAGCAGGGGTCTACATAAGGTAATCACCACCGAAACTGATACCTCTTGGTTATTTCAGAGCTTGAACTGGGTGTTGACAGAAAGGGTGCTGTTCATGTTGTCCAAGAGCATGGGAGCATGTCCAGCATCTATTTGTATCACATCCACTTGAAACCATAGAATAAACAAACCATCTCTCTCTTTGCCTTCACAGAGAGAGTGATCGTTTGAAGTGCACAGCAAGATCCACTGTAAAAAAATCATTGTGAGGGGACAAAGGGGAAGTAGGTTTACCTGATCCAACTGTTGTCCTTTATGTTCCTGTAACCCCTGCTTTTATCTCATACCTTATCCAGCTGGAGCTCCAACAGCAAAACCCACCCAGACCAAGTCCGCCTGTCAGCCTGACCTGAAAACTGGAGGCAAGTCACATGATGGCGACACAATCCCGGTGATGTGTTGGCTATTATTACAGGCTGCTCGGACATGGCAGGGGGAGGAACTGGAAGTGGATTAAGATACAGCTTGAATATCTCATTCTCTCTCCCATATATCAATCAGATGGAGTTCTGGATCATGTGACTGAGGGATTTGAGGGTCTGCGGAGATTAATGTAGCACAGGCAAGTTCTAATGGAGTTGATGAGTGCATGAGCAAAACCCAAGCCATGATCTGTTATATAAGCAGTGGATGTCTCTTTGAATGAGGCTGTAAATGCTTGTGTAAATAATGAATGACTACCACTCTGTTTTCTTGCACCCAAGGGTCTATTTGCTGGCCCTGTGCACAATGTAACTACACACAATCTATCAGGTTGTATAGCCGTCTTTGCATTTAAAGCTGAGGTAGGACGCATTGAATAAAAAGGCATCATTTACTTTAATCCATTATCATAAATAATAGCATTTCCTATTAGCAAGAAATCACTTTCTCTGCTTTTCCAAAGGGACATTTCTTCTTGCACACTCAGGTTTCACTCTTGCTCGAGCCGTTATCAGCACGATCTTTGCTAGGGGTTAAAAGGATCGTGGTTAATCCGTGATCCGTACGGACCAGGGGCCCTATACCATGAAACCGGTTTAGGTGGCTAGCCAGCTATGTTTCAGTTTAGTTTGTACCAACCCTGGGTTTTAGGTACCACGAAAGTGGTTTTGGTTTTTAGCAGTGTTCATCGCCATAGTAACTAACCTCATTATGTTCCAGGTAAGAGGATGCAAACCGAACTTATACACCAGTCAGCTGTGAGCAAAGTGACACATGTATGATGCGATACACAGCAAAAGTGATTTTAAAAGAGAAAATCACGGCTTTTAGTAAATAAATTTGTTTGATTTAGAAATTATTTCTGTAATTATTATACCCTAAAATGATCTCACGTGTACAATTTCCAGTTCATCAATTATTATTACGCAGATTTTAAATGAATACATACTAATTATTTGTGATATATATATTGTGATTATTTACTTTAGTGTATTCTGTGGAGAATAGCCATGGGCAATCTGTCTTAGCTCAGACTGGCCAACTTTGTCTAAACCCTGTCAATGTCAAAAGCTAGAATAAAAAAAAAAAGAATACGTACAGTATATAAAGGGAAATATAAATATGCTTTAGAATCAATAAATGAAGCTATAAAATGACTACATGTGAGCTGTTCAATTCTCTCTATACCTTTATCAACTGTATAAACTAACTTCACAACTTTTACTTGCACTAATATACAGTAGAGAGACTTTCTTTTAGTTGTCCTCTTTCACAGACAGCTAATTTCTTCTTGCTGTGGAAATTTGTTTAAATTCTTTTTATTTTAATACTTTTATTTAATATGTGAATTATATGGAAGCTTGTTTCCGCCACTGAATAAAAATTTTGTAAAAAAATAATTGTGACTTTTTATCTCACAAGATCTCTTGTGAGATATGAAGTCAGAATTGTGAGAAATAAAGTCACAATTGCGAGATAAAAAGTCGCAATTGCGTGTTATAAAGACAGAATTGCAAGATATAAAGTCAGAATTGTGTGATATAAAGTCGCAATTCTGAGAAAAAAAGACAGAAGTGCGACTTTTTTCTCACAATTGCGAGTTTACATCTCGTAATTCTGACTTTATAACACATAATTGTGAGTTTATATGTCGAAATTCTGAGATTCTCAGAATTGTGAGATATAAACTTGCAATTGCGAGTTATCAGGCCAATTCTAAGGGGAAAAAAATACTTTTCCCTTATATCTTGCAATTGTGACTTTATATCACGCAATTGTGACTTTATATCTCGCAATTGTGACTTTATATCACGCAATTCTGACTTTATATCTCGTAATTCTGACTATATCACGCAATTGTGACTTTATATCACGCAATTCTGACTTTTTATCTCGCAATTGGGACTATATCTCACCATTGTGACTTTATATCTCGCAATTGTGACTATATCTCGCAATTCTGACTTTATATCTCACAATTCTGACTTTATATCACACAATTCTGAGTTTATCTCGCAATTGGGACTTTATAACTCACAATTGTGATTTTATATCTCGCAATTGTGACTTTATATCTCGCAACTCTGACTTTATATCTCGTAATTCTGACTTAACATCTCGCAACTCTGAGAAATACTGTATATTCCGAATTGTGAGATAAAAAGTCGCAATTACCTCTTTTATTTTTCATATAGAAATTAATTTCAATGAGTTTTGAAAAGTTTTCACTCTCTCAGCATGTGATTGGCTGTTCGCTACTGATGTCACACCAATACTCCTAAACTCAGGATCAAAGCCGGAGTTGACAGAGAAAGTTGATGATCAGCATCATGGTACCAACAAAGCCTGTTTGGATTGGTTTAGTTTTGTCAACTCGAATCTAATCCTGCAACCCTGGTAAGCTAAAACATATCAAAAATGTATTTCAAAGTGAACTATCCCTTTAAGTGATCCATGCATTCGGTCTTAAAGAGACGGCAACCTGCTTCTAAGTCATTGATGTTGTCAAACAACAAAACACAGCTTTAACAAAGATGAATTGATATTTTATACACCGGACACTATAATGTTATTTTACATTTAGGCCTAATTATTACATATCTGTACCAAATTGCACTAAAGTTAGACATTACTTTGTTATATTATTATATATCTATGCTTGTAATTAGTGAATTTGATCTTAACACCCCTATATATACCCCTAAATACAAAATGCTGATGTGTTATTGCTTGATGAAGCTTATAAGACTACTATGAGAATATCGTGAGATTCAAGACTGGAGGACCGACTTGTGGCAGGGATGCAGACAGGAATAACAGGACCCATGTTTGTAACCCCCTTTATACTAAAAACGTCCTAAACAAACTCTATTCTCGCTCATTGTAAATCACGGTATCATACCTACATGTTTCTTCTATCTTGTACTTTTACTAGAATTTGCATTGCGGCACTTCTCATGTCACTGGCTCCTTCTGATGAATTATGCTGTAGCATTCCTTTGGAAGGCATTTGCTTACTTTATTAACAAAATAATGTAAATGTTTCTGCTTATTTTAGGCCCAGGATAACATTCCTAGTTGCCCCCATCTGGTAGGAATCAGAAACAATTCCTGAATGATGAAATAAAAAGTGCTGCCTTAAAAACAAATTACATTTCTGATACTGATATTAGACAGTCTCTTGATGCAGGATAGAAAGAGAGAGAGAGAGAGAGAGAGAGAGAGAGAGAGAGAGATGATAATGGCTCACCCTTTCCTATACATGGGCTGGAGAGCTGCTTCACTATGGGTGTCTGGAGTCTTCGCATCATTTCCTGTGTGCTCAGGCTTGGAGAGAGAAAGGACAAAACAGCATGATGAATAGGTGGGTATTTCTCAGCATATTTGCAACAGATTTGAATGAATGAATAAGGCATTTATGTATTTATATATAGATTTGACGCCATGTTGAATAAGTACATCTATTTCTAACCATTGATTACAATTACCCATAAAAGGAATCAATAAACACATACAAAACACTTTTGAAGCATACATATATGATATTAGTGTGGTTTGCACTGCATCACGAGAAAGAGAAATACGCATTTATTTATAATGTAATAATGTTAGTAATCTTATTGAAACACTTACCCTGCCTCAGATCTAACAGAACCCTGTGTCTTTTCTGCAGCTGCACCGCAAATACAAACCCATAATGTTCTCACAGGAAAGAAATTAAAGGAAAAGGAGAAGAAGAAAAAAAACTCACTCAGTTCTGCCCCCCAGTGATGAATGAGATATGGCACTTGAAATTCACTAAGTAAAGAGAGGAAGCAGTCACTAGACAGTGTAGGGATGAGAAAAGTAAAGGAGTATATTTTCTTTCTGTCGTAGGCTAATTCATTATTGCCCCCTTGTGGAGATGTGTACATATGTCTTTCAACAACAAAAAGTATTTGGACATTTACTATCCTTCCTTATTAAAAATTGAGGAATGTCATTGAATACCAAACCAAGGTCAATTACACATAGTCCTAATAAAAAAGTGCTTTACTATTGACCAGACAGACACTTAGCCCAACCAACCCCAACCAGCCATCCCACAAAAAAGTATATGTGTCTTTATGCTTTTAGTTTATTAGTAGGCCTAATATTTTAGTGTAAAAAAAAAAACAGTGCACTTTAAATTTGGTGGACGACCGCAGTTCTATGACTTTAAATGTTGCTTATTTGGACTTGTAAAAAATCCTTTACCAATAGACTAAATCGGATTTTCATTTGTATGCTAGTGGGTAGAAAAAAATTACAACACAAATTAAATATCCCAGTAAAATAGCTTATTAAATTTGCTTTGGCTTTAACACAGCGGCAATATAAAAGTCAATTATTATTATTATTTAAATCATTTATATTTATACTTAGCATGATCCCATTTTCTGCTATTACACTGTAGGTGGGTCTTCATACATGCAAAAAAATATAGCTAATTTTATAATTAAGGAAGGGAATTATATCTCCTGCAAGGGGATTATAATATTTGGGGGTTTTAGGCATTAAATAGGAAAACACACTGATCTATTGACATCGCATGACGTCTATTGATGACGTCTCGCTATCGCTATCTCTCTCTCTCTCGCTCGCTCTCTCAAACTCAAACATTACGAGACATTTAAGCGGAAGCGACTTAACAATTAAATAATATCGGGACAGCCCCACATGCACACTGTAATTGACATCACACACTCTCTGATGCTCTATGGACAGTAACAGCTCAACCCTCCGTTATTTCTAAAACGACGCAATTAGTAACGGACGCTTATGCTGTTATGGAAAGATGCGTTGTTTCACATTTTACCTGGCGTTGCTTCAGCGTGACGGTCTCCTCTCCTGCACATTTCCCCGCTGCGCACTCATTCGATGATGGGCGGGGAAAAGTAGAATGACAGAAGTGATCATGCACCAATTACAACAAAGAATCTCGAGTCTCATAAAACAACACTGGACACAGTTAAAGGGGAAGCTAACAGGACAGGAGCAACAAAACAATTGCTACGCATATATATATTATTTATCCTTAGAAGTCGTTTAGAAAGTCAAACATATGTCTTTCAAATAGACCTTCAAAAGGCAAATACAATTGTATCTTAATTTTAAATGGACAAAATATATTTAACAATTTCTTGCAATTTGAAAAATATTTTAAAAGTTAAATAAACATTTAATGACATATTAGCCATTCACATATTTCTACACTAATTAATTCAAATTCAATTATTCAAATTATATTCACATTCAAATTAATAAAAAATAAAACAAAAACTACCCCGTGGGGGAAAACAGAACCAGTCAGCTTCACTTGGCAGGACAAGACTTGGCAGCAGGACACGACATGGCTTCAGGGATCAGGACCCAAGGAATGTAAGACGAACTTGCACAGGACTGAAAACACAAGGAGAATAAGGGTACGTTTACACAGCAACGATATGCTTAAAACTGAGAAGTTTGCGTTTTCAGGCACCCGAAGCGCTGTTGTCGTCTAAATGAACAACTAAAATTATTAAAAAAGTATAAGCATAGGCATAACAAAGTTTTACGACTCCAGTCACCGTCCAGTGTCCAGAGACGAATCCAGTCCTCGTCCAGTTTCCAGAGACGACTCCAGTCTCCGTCCAGTGTCCAGAGACGACTCCAGTCCCCATCCAGAGAAGACTCCAGACAACTTCAGACCCCTTCCAGAGTCCAGAGACGACTCCAGTCCCCGTCCAGTGTGTTCAGTGTCCAGAGACGACTCCAGACAACTTCAGACCCCTTCCAGAGTCCAGAGGTGACTCCAGTCCTCGTCCAGTGTCCAGAGATGACTCCAGTGTTCAGAGACGACTCCAGTCCATGTCCAGTGTCTAGAGATGACTCCAGTCCCCGTCCAGTGTCCAGAGACGACGCCAGTCCTCGTCCAGTGTGTCCAGTGTCCAGAGACGACTCCAGAGAACTTCAGTCCCCTTCCGGAGTCCAGAGGTGACTCCAGTCCTCGTCCAGTGTCCAGAGATGACTCCAGTGTCCAGAGATGACTCCAGTCCTCGTCCACTGTCCAGAGACGACTCCAGTCCTCGTCCAGTGTCCAGAGATGACTCCAAGGTCCAGAGATGACTCCAGTCCTTGTCCAGTGTGTCCACTGTCCAGAGATGACTCCAGACAACTTCAGACCCCTTCCAGAGTCCAGAGGTGACTCCAGTCCTCGTCCAGTGTCCAGAGATGACTCCAGTGTCCAGAGCTGAATCCAGTCCTCGTCCAGAGATGACTCCAGTCCCTGTCCAGTGTCCAAAGATGACTTCAGTCCTCGTCCAGTGTGTCCAGTGTCCAGAGACGACTCCAGACAACTTCAGTCACCTTCCAGAGTCCAGAGGTGACTCCAGTCCTCGCCCAGTGTCCAGAGATGACTCCAGTCCTTGTCCAGTGTCCAGAGGTGACTCCAGGGTCCAGAGATGACTCCAGTTCTTGTCAAGTATATCCAGTGTCCAGAGACGACTCCAAACAACTTCAGTCCCCTTCCAGAGTCCAGAGGTGACTACAGTCCTCGCCCAGTGTCAAGAGATGACTCCAGTCCTCGTCCAGTTTCCAGAGAAGACTCCAAACGTCCAGTGTCCAGAGATGACTCCAATGTCCAGAGGTGACTCCAGTCCTCGTCCAGAGATGACTCCAGTCCCTGTCCAGTGTCCAAAGATGACTTAAGTCCTCGTCCAGTATTCAGAGACGACTCCAGTCCCTGTCCATTGTCTAGAGATGACTCCAGTCCCCGTCCAGTGTCCAGAGACGATGCCGGTCCTCGTCCAGTGTGTCCAGTGTCCAGAGATGACTCCAGACAACTTCAATCCCCTTCCAGAGTCCAGAGATGACTCCAGTCCTCGTCCAGTGTCCAGAGGTGACTCCAGTCCTCGCCCAGTGTCCAGAGATGACTCCAGTGTCCAGAGATGACTCCAGTCCTCGTCCAGTGTCCAGAGACGACTCCAGTCCATGTCCAGTGTCCAGAGATGACTCCAGTGTCCAGAGACGACACCAGTCCTTGTCCAGTGTCCAGAGATGACTCCAGGGTCCAGAGACGACTCCAGTCCTTGTCCAGTGTCCAGAGATGACTCCAGACAACTTCAGTCCCCTTCCAGAGTCCAGAGGTGACTCCAGTCGTCGTCCAGTGTCCAGAGGTGACTGCAGTCCTCGTCCAGTGTCCAGAGATGACTCCAGTGTCCAGAGGTGACTACAGTCCTCGTCCAGAGATGACTCCAGTCCCTGTCCAGTGTCCAAAGATGACTTCAGTCCTCGTCCAGTGTTCAGAGACGACTCCAGTCCCCGTCCAGTGTCCAGAGACGACGCCAGACCTCGTCCGGTGTGTCAGTGTCCAGAGACGACTCCAGACAACTTCAGTCCCCTTCCAGAGTCCAGAGATGACTCCAGTGTCCAGAGATGACTCCAGTCCTCGTCCAGTGTCCAGATACGACTCTAGTCCTCGTCCAGTGTCCAGAGATGACTCCAGTGTCCAGAGATGACTCCAGTCCTCGTCCAGTGTCCAGAGACGACTCTAGTCCTCGTCCAGTGTCCAGAGATGACTCCAGTGTCCAGAGATGACTCCAGTCCTCGTCCAGTGTCCAGAGATGACTTCAGGGTCCAGAGATGACTCCAGACAACTTCAGTCACTTTATTCCAGAGTCCAGAGGTGACTCCTGTCCTCGCCCAGTGTCCAGAGGTGACTCCAGTCCTCGTCCAGTGTCCAGAGTTGACTCCAGTCCTCTTCCAGTTTCCAGAGACGACTCCAGACGTCCAGTTTCCAGAGATGACTCCAGTGGGACTGGAGTCACCTCTGGACACTGGGCGAGGACTGGAGTCACCTCTGGAGTCTGGACTCTGGGAGGGGACTGAAGTTGTCTGGGGTCATCTCTGGACACTGGACGTCTGGAGGTACATAGCCCTTTCAATGTTATTGATTTAATGTAATACAAGGCACACCAAAACTGACTTTACAAAACTTTGGGAGAAATAGTTTGGGTCACAATATCAAAAAAACTTTCCTGTTGCTCAAACAGTATAGTGTTGACACTTGCAACGCCAATGTCATGGGTTTGATTCCCAGGGAAAGCAAGAACTGATAAGAATGTAAATGTGCACTTTGAAATGCAATGTAAGTCACTTTGGATAAAAGCGTCTGCCAAATGCATAAATGTAAATGTTAATATATGACCTCTAATCTGAATATATACAGACTGCAAAGTATGAATGAGTTGTTGGTTGATCACAGACAGGAGTAAAGAGTAATGAGGTGTGGATGAGTGAGGCAGATGGCATCAATCCCAGAATACATTTGGAAATTCCAGGCAAAAGAACGCTAACTCCATTAATTATATAACCACAAGGTGGAGCTATAGCATTAAAATTAGATAATGATTTAAAACACTATTTTCAGCTGCAAGGTGAGAGTTATGGTTGTAGTCTGACCCCCTTGAAAAAGGATTTAGTCAAATTAGCAATTTCAACAATAAGTATATTTTTTAAATTGTTTTTTTTTTTTTTTTTCAAATATTTTAGAAACCACAAAAGTGCCTAACTTATCAGGAGGAACACTGAAAACATAAACTCGTTATAAAAAGTTGCTGTTTTTGACTCTAGAAGTTGATTTACGATTTTTGGCATCAGAAAGTGTCAGATATTCCAGGCTTACTGACTACCACAATAAATCGACAAATGTAAACAACCCATCTTTGGCGGGAACAGTTTATCAACGAAGGCTAAACATCTGCGTTTTCATCCTGAATTCAGTGGACGGTTCTTAAACGAAAACTCAATGTTTTCCTGACACTGTATGTGTTCATTTGGGATTAGCATCATATGGTGCTTCAATATTAAGGCGACGTGAGTGCAACAGTAAAAAGTGTATTTCGGAAGTTCCATCTCATTAAGACAGGAATGGAAATGATGTGTTTAAGTGGAATGTCCTATGAAGCGCCTCCCAACTCTGCTCTACATCCTACAAACCGGTCCCCTGCAGAGCTCTCATTAAACACAGTCCTGGCCCACAGCTCAATTACAGATAACTTGAGGTGAGTAGGTATGGAAAACGGAAAGAAGGAATGCACTTGGTACCCCGTTTGCCCTCCAGGGCCTTTAACCCCCAGTTTCATAGAAAAAAATGTGTCAGACTGAATGTTTGTGCTATTTTAACTGAAAGCAAATAACTTAAATGTCATTGTTTTGTCTCAAGATGCACACCAGTAATCTTTCCTTTCTATGGCATGTTTATAAAAGCTACTTAAATGTCCTAATTGAACCCAGGCCTAATTCTGGTTTAATCTATGCCTTGTCTGTAAAACCAGGTCAACATGTAATAACCCAGACCAGGTGCTGATCATCTGTCTGTACACCTGGCGTTCCAGATGGGGAACAATGGAGAGACGTTTTTCCTTTTACTACCTTCACTTCCTGTGGAATAAACAGACGAGTGCCAGAAGATATCAGCTTTAACTGTATGCAAAAGTTTATTGAATGACAACAGTAATTCATTTCACACTCAATCACACACGCACGCACGCACACACAAATAAAATAGATTCAATTTACAAATATATAATTGCATAAAACGTTATCCTATTACAACAGCTTGAGACATCCTTGACATAAATGAATAATATATATAATAACGCTACCTTCAATGCCCTTATTTTTTCCCCCGTACAAAAATAGCTCTATCTCTGTAAGTAGTATAAAGTAATATAAAACTATTAAATAGTGATATCTTTGACCATTTTTGTTTTCAAATATACATATACTTGCGATAAAAAAAAGAAATAGATTGCACATATCTCTATACAAATAATAACAATAACAGTGTTCAAGTAAGTTCGAATACAATCCTCGTGGACTGGCACAGACAATCCATATAATCAAAGGCATTCATCTTGCTTACAGTGTCCAAAAATGTGATTCCACATTAGAAACACCTTCATTGGCATTTAAAAAAGTCTCTTTCTCTCTGTGTATTCCTTTCTAGAATCATGAATCTTTCCCTGTTGAATTGGCTTGAAGTCCGACACAGTCACTGGACAGACACAGCTAAACTCGGGGCCGTAATCCCACCGACTGGTTCACCAGGAGGGCAGTCCAGGAGGTTCTGCTTTTCCCTGAGGCCAGTCCACTTCAGTGCAATGATATCCAAGGCACACTATTGTTGTTTCTGCGCTTCTCTTGGACGTTTTCTCCTCCGAGGACTGCCTTCAGGAGTCAAGATTGCTCTTCCAGCTCCTGTGCTTGGAAAAGAATGCGCTGGAGAACTCTTGGCAGGAGTCTGAGGCATTTGTAGAATTTGATATTTGGCCGCGTCCCGGAGAGCTCCCGCTCTGTGCGCTCACGTCCGTCTGAGTAGCGCTTCTAACCTGTGCAGGCGTGACTGAGAGTTTGAGCTTCTCCACTCCGTCCTCAGCCCTTTCCCCTCCCGTCTCAGTGTCAGTACTTTCTCTGGAACGGACCTTCGCCGCCGGCCGTACCCGAAGGGGTTGATCTTGTCCGCGGGTGCATTCCCGATCTTGAGCTTGTTGTTGAGGTCGTGGATACGGTGTGCCAGAACATGCACCGTGCAGGTGCCCAGCGAGCAGCCCGCTCTCCTGGACTGGTTGATGGAGTTCTTGGAGCGTTTTGTCCTTATGCTGATGCCAGTGCTGGAAAGACAGACAGGGGAAGAGGACGTTAATGCCCGGTGTTCCTGAGCAATTTCGTTTGGCACACAGCCTTAGTTTTTGACGTTGCTTGGTTCATGTGAAACTTACCTGGAACGTGGCCTCAAGTTGTCTTTGACATCGTCCTCTCTGACAAACTGGCTGTTGTCTAAAGTCCTCAGTGCAGCAAGGCTCAAATCCCTTTTTGATCTCTGCAGCCGGACACTACGAATCAAGAGGAGGAGGCATTTTCGTTAGAAACTTTTCAAGCAACGCCGAACATGACTAAAACCCCCAAATCAAACCACGTCAGCTTACCTTCTTTTCAGGTCGTGTTTTGCACTGTCCGCACTTGGTGCAACGGTGGCCAGCAGGCAGCAGCAGAAGATTGACTGCAGAATCAGTTGCATCGTGGCTGAAATCTTGAAGGAAAAAGCAAACGAATCATCTGTTAGATATCCACTTTGACAGAAACCTCCAATCACCTGCATGCAACTCCCCTACTCTGTGCCAACCATGCTTTGCTCACGCTTGCACAAGAGTCCAAAATCCAAGCTATTTACACTCACTCATCGTGCATTTATTTACAATGTCAAGCACTTTCTATGAATAAGTAAACTTGCAACTATGCGCAAGGTCCCTGATGACCAGCAAACGGTGGATTTTTACAAAGCAGAGTGTCTACAACTCCATCAGCACCCATTAAAAAAAGTATTAAGGCTAACTTTCCTGGCTTATGGATGCAAAACTGAGGCTCAGTTTCTTACATAACTGTGTGCATATTGACCTAAAAAAAGACACTGAGCAGCTAATAGAAACACATGCATACCTGTGTTGAAGTACTCTCAGGCTGGCTTTAGAAGTCTGTGTAGAAAGTAATCCAGAGGCGTTTGACTTGCTTGTGCAGCGCTGATACTCTGCTAATAGTCTGACTCGCCTCAGCAGGAGTTAGTGCATTTATACTGAAGGGAGATGGGAGGGGCTCGCGTCTCACACACTCTCTCATCCCAGAACTTCCTCTCTTAGCTCAGAGTAACCACCTCGATTACAGCATGACAGAGATGAAAACGAAACTCAGGATATTGATGGGTGATTACTTTTTATCGGTGTTTCTGGGAAGAATAGGCAACCGCCAATCTGGGGAATTCTTTGAAATATAGGCTACCAGTAACATTGCTCATGATTTTGGGCGTCGGTTTAGGGTTCAACAGTGTCAAAGACAGAACAAATGTGAAACACAAAATTTGTTTTACATAAACTTAATATGCATAAAAAATAATGGGTTTTGTAATGGGGATTTGACTAATTTTAACTGACACAAAGGTTTATCATAATTAATTATGCAACGAAGCGATTTAGTTTTAACAGTACACAAGTATCAAATAAAAAGATGTAGAGATTTTTTTATGTTTAAAGAGAAATATAATGCTTATGACAGTGTCTGAAAGGACCATTGAGCGTATACTGATTAATCTGATATTTAAAGTCATTTAGAAAATAAACAGTTGATCTATGAATACTGAGTCAGATTTTCTATGCAAGAGGTAAAACTGATTCGTCTATTCCTGGATATGTAAACACAGATAACGATTTGGGGGAGAATGCCTGCTGACCTTCACCTAGTTATACATTTTTATATGTATATATTTTAGACTAGATCAAATTACATCAAAATCAAAACTAAATGTATCTGGTATGAAGTCCATCAGTTCTATTTCAAATAAATGTGACACGTTAATTACTGTGCAATCCTGATGTATCCTTATATGGGAAGTCAAAGATTGCACAATATCCACACACTGACACCATCCACTTGTTTGCCTCTGCAGCCCATATATGGTGAATATTGTTTGTTAAACCAACATGTCATAGCCATCACAAGAATTGCTGATATTTGATCATGTATGATGAGGGACAGGTGAGAAGTAGGCCTATAGATCTACCTGTGCGTCACATGTTCAGGTATGCTACAGTTACAATGAGTCATTGTAAACACCCTGATGTCATTGAGCAATTTCATACTGTTGTTGTTTTGGGGTGATCTTAGGATTAGACATGAAATGTGAAAACTGCAACATTCCTTGAGAAATGTCATTTAGCTAACAAAAATGTAATTTAACTTGGAAGCATCTTGGTAAATACCAAAGTGTGTCATTCAGTAACTGCTTTATAGCCTATTGCAGAAACATTGCTTTATGTAATTTAATTGCGAGGATCTCACCAAAGCTGATGGGTTATGAACATTATTTTGCCTACTATAAACTAAAATGAGCCATGTCATTTAGTCTAGATATTTCATATGGTTACTTAGGCTACTATGTGAGTAATTTGTGGTCATTAGCTGATCCAAAAGAATTATGGATAATTTGGGCTGGTGAGTCTAAGATCTGAGCTGGTATACCACAGCTCGCAACCATGTTCCAAAACCAGCATAACCAGCTGATAGACATTCCAGTATAGGGACTTTGTCGTAAACTATACTTATGTAACTTTTCAAACTTCAAATCATTGTCTCACTTTTGTCAATCATCTATCTCAACTTTAGGATACCTGAGGGGGAGAAAATAAATAAACTTGCGAAATTCAGTGATCATTATCACACATTAGGCTACATAAAATATTATTTCGAATATTATTTTGAAACATTTACATGATTGTGGCATCATAAAAACAATTAAATTCTCTGAGACATGCGAATTACCAACTTTTGAATAGTCTACGTAGGACTTAAACAAACAAACAAACAAACAAACATGAATTCATTTTGCAGCAGTATAACATTACTCGACATTATTCGAGTCTTAAGACATCCTTTTCAATACATGAGTGTAAAAGTCAATGTTATTAATCGCTAGTGTCAGTGAATGAACGCGCAGGACCCACGCCCATCCACGGGCAACAGCCAGTCCGCGCAGGCGCACTGGCTCCCTCTGTGTCAAACATGGCTGTGCTTTTGAAGAAAGAAAAATGCTGAATTGTGTTGCAGAATTTCGCCAAAAGAGGAAACCATGGCTAGACTTGCTGATTATTTCACAGTGGTGGGATACGACCAGGAGAAGGCTGGTAAGTTGTGGTGTGTGTTTGGAGGAGTGCTGAGATTTATTTAGGCCGTTAGCTATAAATAGTGCTGCTGCTGCTGACTGTGGTTCAAGAGATTATGGATTTCACTTTCTTTGACGTGTTATAATCGGTGTCATTAGGAATTGCGTGTCTGTTTTATCAGGGAACAACACTGATTATTGCTGCTTGTTGTGTTTATGAATTACGTAGTACGTGCTTGTCTAAATGGGAGGTTGAAAGCTGGTTTTGATGATAGTGTGTATTTTTGCTTTTGTTTATATGTAGCCTATACAACACCGCCCACATCAAATGTTTTTATGACAACATACTTTATAATGTGTTTTTATTTGGTATATGAGTGTTTTTGTCAGTAAATCTCAGCACACACACCTACTGTATTTGTCGCGTGTACATGTAAACAGTGAAAATAAAGCGCGCGCGCGATGACTCATGCGGTCACTTGTTACTAGCTACGTGTTTCCAAGCCGCAGACATTGATCTCTAAATGGCGATTTAAGCGCTCTATTTCGCATTGATTGCCACATTTGGCCCTGGGGTTTGGGTCAGTAGAGAGCGGACCTGTGTGTGTGTGTTCATACGGATCCGCCGTAGAGCTTTTCCTGTGTTGTGGAAAGCGGATGCAGAGGAAACAGGATTTTACGTGTCTCGAGCTGTGCGTAATCGTGTGGAATGAGTCTACAGGTGCTTTCATTTACAGCACACGATCATGTTTACATACCTAAAGGCTGAATGAAGCAGCACGTCCGCACACAAACGATGGTGTGAAGTGATGTTCTTCACTAGCCCCTTATTTAACCTTTTAACTGCCTCAAGAAATTCGTGCCGTGAAGGAAATAACAGATTCACTTCTTTTCATTCCCAACATTGATTAAAGGGCCAGGGTTAGTTCACCCAAAAATGAAAATTATCCCATAATTTATTCACCCTCAAGCAATCCTATATGACTTTCTTCCTTCAGCCAAACACAATCAGAGTTATATTAAAGTATCCTGGCTCTTCCAAGCTTAATAATGGGAGGGAATGGTAGATTTTGAAGCCCAAAAAGCACATCCATCCATCCTAAAAGTAATCCATACGGCTCTACTATGGTATTAAAGGCCTTTTGAAGCAAAGCGATTGTTTTTGTAAGAAAATATCTATATTTATTACTTTATAAACTATAAAGTCAATGGCTTTCCGGTAACGGCCGCAAGTCTAGTTCTGGAAAAAGAGTGACCTCTTTGTGTGTGTGTGTGAAGTAAATGTGAATAGTGTTTTTATTAACAAAAATTGATTCTAGCTTAAGCTTAGGTGAGAGTATACGTATCTCACGGTTTACACAAATAGGGCTGGGCAACAAACTCAAGCTCCTCTGACTTTTCTCTTTAAAAATTGTCGTTTTAGACTTCTAATTCGTGACCGGTGTGTTATTTTGCTCTATCATCTGGGCTTCGGTGTTCGTCCATACGTCATGCGTTGGGTCAGACGCAAAAAAAAAAAAAAAAAAAAAAAAAAAAATCATTTGATTATTTAATTGTGAGCCATTTTCACAGTCCTTCTTGTGATGTAGCCTGTGTCTCCTCTGAACGGACACTGTTTGTTTTTTTGGAGTCTACACAGTGTCTTTCTCAGCCATTATAAGCATCCATAGACAGAGTTCAAATGAGTGAAGCCTTTCTTTCAGTTGCTCTAAGACACTGACTTGCCTCTAAGTAGGCATCAGATAAGCTGGCTTTCCTCCAGGCTTCAGACTTTAAGGGCTACTCTTTCTGAATCGTCTCTGTCACTCGTGGCTGAGGCTCATACAGATTTCCAGTGCATAAATGGCTGTGTTGTGCTGGGGAACTCCGTGTTCTTGGCTTCTGTGGGGGGTTGTGTGAATTCAGGCATCATCCTCACAAAAAAGTGTGACTGGAAGGTATCCACCTTTAGAGAAATTATAATAATTGAGATGGCGTTGAACATTTCTAATTTTGAAGAGCACTTTTGGAACTGCTCAGGGAGACTTTGTAATGGTATTGAAGGGACTGCACACCAGACCACTAAGTTCTACAAATTGTGGCATTGGGTGCATTTTAATATAAAGTTTATTTAACTAATAATATTACAAGCTTATTACATGCCTTCTTGGAAGTGCACATTTGACAGTAAATCACTGAGATTCAGTTGAGAAGTTGAGAAAAATCACTTTTATTAAGTCAAAGTCACATTTATTTACACATTTATCACATCAAAAATAGAAGTTTGTGTTTGCATAATATATGTGGGTGCACTGTGTATAATTATTTTATATATATAAATACACACACATGCTTGTATGTTTAAGAAATATTTTCATGTATGTACTGTATATAGATTTATATATAATTTATATATATATATATATATATATATATATATATATATGCATATACACACAAAATATTACACAGTGCACCCAGATATATTATGTAAACACAAACTTTTATTTTGGATGCGATTAATCACGATTAATCGTTTAGTCATTTTCCAAAAAAAAGGGTTTATGAAGTTATATCTACATCATTCTGGGCTATTCACGATATTTAAAATACTTACAAACTAGCAAATTATTTGTTGTAAACAACTTTATGAAAGAAAATGCTTTTAAAATCTGTTTTAACTTTAACTCTTATACGGACTTCGGGTCTTTAGCAACCAGGGATGTCACCTCTCCCTTTATTAATTTTTTAAAGTTAGATATAAACCCCCAATCTATTCATTATAAACTAATTAATTTATAAAAATTAAATTGTCTGTTTTCGAATTAATATTTTTTTTTGTAAAAAGTGTATAGGGTTGCTAGTGACGCTTTACAATAAGGTCTCATTTATTAACATTAATGTATTAATTAACATGAAC